GCAGGTGCTTCCGCCACTCTGTGCAGAACTTAGGAATTTGGTTTTGCAACCAATGATCTTGCCAATGGTTCTAACTATAGCACAGTCTCAGGTAATCAGAGTTCCATAAGTTCCCTCACCTACTTGTATTTGATCCCAGGTCCTCCCTAAATTGATTTTACTTGTAACACATGGTGTTCGTTGTTAGATTTCATTAAGTTATTTCTCAAAATGTCACTTTGTACAAAAATAATTCTTTGCAATAGTCTTATTAAAGTGTCAGCACTGGTGTTTGATTAAGTGCTTGGAAGTTGAAATCTTAAAACTCCATTTGCAGGATAGGAATGACTTTGAGTTGATAACACTGCCTGCTCTTGTTCCTGTTCTGAGTACTGCTTCTGGAGATACATTACTGCTGCTTGTAAAGCATGCAGATCTTATTACCAACAAGGTAAAATTGATTTATGTGTATGCATTACTGAATTGTGCATTTCTTAGTCTGCGCATGTTTGTTTCTGCGTAAGTTCTTCTGGCTGGACACAGTCCGACAGGATAAATAAATTCGGTGTTAAGTATTGTTTCCTATGACAAATGTACTGGTACTGGTAGATAGCAGCTCTACATAATAGTCTTTTGTGCTGCCATAAACTGATACATAGAGGGAATCTTAATTTCTATAGTCCTATCACATATCTTTTTTCGACATCTATTTCTGATTTGTCTTGTATATATGAATCTGATTGAAAGCTTCCATATTGAAGTTAGACCGACTGCTGTCTGTCCTGGACCAGTTGTAAATATGCATATCACTTTCCCTTGTGTTAATACAAGGTGAGATATCCCTGGCTTATGTTTTTTTGTAACTTTTCAGACTAACAGCGAGCATCTTGCATCGCATGTCCTCCCTTTGCTTCTCCGAGCCTACAATGATAATGATGTCCGCATTCAGGAGGAAGTTCTTAAAAAATCCACATCTATCGCTAAGCAACTCGATGGTCAGGTGATGCTCAATTCTTATTTTTTATGCTTTAATTTTATTTTTATGATACGCAATTTGATATGCGGCTTGGACAGGAATGGTGTGACATGCATTTAGGCTCTGTGGTTGTGTAGGGTAGTGTCAGTCAATTACACTGGATGAGTTCATTTAGTTAATGTTTTCTCTTTTCCATTTTGATTTTGTAGGTTGTAAAGCAAGCAATTTTGCCTCGTGTTCATGGCTTAGCTCTCAAAACTACAGTTGCTGCGGTAAGTTATGCCTTGCTCGATTACCTCAGCCGATTTTCTTTAGAAACCACTGTCCTTTAATAGCTTGAAAAATATAGAGAAGAATTAAATAGAGAGACTCCATCTTCCAAAGAATTTGATTTGACTGTACTTGTTGTTCAGGTCAGAGTAAATGCTTTGCTCTGTTTAGCAGAGCTGGTTCAAACGCTTGATAAACCTGCTGTTATCGAAATCCTGCAAACAATTCAGCGTTGTACTGCTGTTGATCGTTCTGCACCTACCCTTATGTGTACCCTTGCTGTTGCAAACGCGATTCTCAAACAGGTGGGAAGAAGGGTCAAATTTCTCCTTAACGTTTGAAGTTTGAATGTCTTGTTGTCTCCCTTTCTATCTGTGGAAGCATCACATCTCATATTATAAACTGCATTCTCTGTCATTTGCTCTCTAGTATGGAGTCGAATTCACCGCGGAACATGTGCTTACCCTGATGATGCCGCTTCTCACTGCCCAACAACTGAACGTCCAGCAGTTTGCCAAATACATGCTATTTGTCAAGGATATTCTCAGGTGCGTCTGCTGTTTTCACGCCCTTCACCACTGCATAGTGTTTTGCTGTCTTTCTTATGATCTGCTTGTGTCTCTTGGAACAGAAAAATAGAGGAGAAAAGAGGAGTTACAGTGAATGATTCTGGAATTCCAGAGGTGAAGCCGCATTCTGCTGCCAATGGAGTCCAGTTTCAGTCATCAACCCAAGCACCCGAGAAGGTTGCTTCTGCAGCCAAGAGCAGTCCAGCTTGGGATGAAGATTGGGGCTCTCCGAGCAAAAACTCTGCTTTGGGAAATCCCGCGTCTTCTCATCACGAGACAAACAATCAGTTTAATAACAAATCCACAAATCAGTCGCAGCCATCGATCATGTCTACTCTGCCCAACAAGACAACAGCAACACCAACCACATGCCCTCCAGTGGACATCGAGTGGCCTCCAAAACAGTCTTCAAGCCTCACTGTTTCAGCAACTAATGATGAGACGCAGCTAAACACAGGAACATCAGGTTTTGATGAATTAGATCCGTTTGCTAATTGGCCTCCACGTTCCACCGGCGCTTCTACTGGTCTCAACAATGGCACTGCATCTGGTTTTAGCAACAATGTACCTGCAAGCACGCCCTTTCAGACAGCTAACAGTGACAACTGGGCATTCAGCAGTGCCTCATTGTCTTCCATGAAACCACCCCAGCAAGGGAGCTCAGGTGTCTCTGCAAGCAACCATGATCCAATAAACTCTTTCGGGTTCCCAAAACAGAGCCAAGCAATGCCATCTTTCACCAGTGGTTCATTCAGTAACCAAAAGCCAGCAGACATCAGCTCCATATTCGGTTCAAGCAAAACGGAGAATTCCGCACTGAAACTCGCACCACCACCTTCAGTAGCAATGGGACGAGGAAGAGGGAGAGGTAGAGGAGGCACTGGCACATCTATCTCGAAGCCCAGTGGTTCACAGCCATCTTTATTGGACCTATTGTGACCAATGCTCTAATTTGTGATTACTCAATGTTGGTGTTTTGGTCGTGTAGTGAAGATTGGCATAATATACACATGGTGCTTTGTGATGCACAGAGTAAACATCTCCTGGGATTAGCTTCTTCCACCATATAAACTTTACTACGGCTTCAGGTTTTCAGGTTGTTTCTGTCTTTCTCAAATTGTGTAAATTTTTTCTGCTTTCTTCTTTCCACCATATTATATTCTTTTTAGAGCTGCTATGCTATTTTCATGTATACGTTTTTGTTTACAGTTGGCTGGATCCTTCATAAATATAAAGTTGAGTTATCTTTTTAACTGTCGGAATCTCACCATTTTTCTTTTAGGATTCGCCTGAGTAACTTCTGTGATCCTAAAAAATAATACTTATATGTCATGAATGACTCACAAGTTGAAGAGGTTTTTAAGCAAAGACACGAAAGAGGTTTTTCCACTATTGCAAAACCCATTCAAGTAGAAAATTACAATCAAAGCAAAAAGAACAAACCGGGAAATTTCAGTATAAACACGAACAAGAAGACGTTGGACAAATGCTTAGAGCGACTGCAACAGATGAGACTAACGATCACTTCTTGTGATTCTGAGTTTTCTTCGACCAACTTTTATGATAGTGTGAAGTGTAGATATGTCCGATCACCAATCCACATAATACACCAGGTCCATAGGCTATTGCAGCTGCTATCCAGTTGAACAATTGTTCTTCCGACTCTGACAACTCCCCCGGTTGCTGTGATGTGGGACTTGAGACTGGAATCTTTCCACAGATTTCTTCGAGACCGACGAGTCTAGTGTTGTTCGAGAACGAAGAACAATTTTGTCTTTGAAACTGCGTGCCTCGTGGCACTGGACCTTGGAGAAGGTTACTGGAGAAGTTCATGTACGACAGAGAGGAGAGTTCACCAAGATCTTGAGGGATTTGACCTGACAGCTTATTACACGATAAGTCCAATGTCTCGAGCTTTGTCAGATTTGCCAAGGATCGTGGGATATCGCCTGTGAAGGCGTTACCTGACAAGTTGAGAAGATGCAACTCTTTTAAAAAGCACAGAGACTCAGGAATTTTGCCATAAATTCTGTTTCCAGAAAAATCAATGGCTCTGAAGTCTTGTTGGATCCGCTCAAAGCTTGTCTCCACTCCTTTAATCACCATTACCATCGTATTACGATAAAAGACGGAATAATTGATGATATCTGCCATGTACGGGTCATCTTCTACCCTCATTGTGGTCATTTCACGCCAGCTGGAAAAACAGTGAGGTGGGAGAGTTCCTGTGAAGTCATTGTGTGAGATATCGATGACTCTTAAACTCTGAAACCCAACGGACACGTCTCGATGAAGCAACAGCCCATAGAACTCGTTTGATCTTAGGATGAGAACATGTAATGACGGCAGAGATCCCAACCATGATGGAAACTCGTCCTTGATTCTGTTGCTTTCCACATTCACAAGTTGCAGACCTTTGCACTTGATCAATGACTTTGGAAGTTTTCCCTCAAGCTGGTTGCGACTGATGTCAAGTGATCGTAACTGGATAGCATTGGCAAATATATCTGGAAGAGTTCCACTGAAACTGTTGTTACGCAGAATCAGGTCTGTAAGAGAATCAATGGGGTTCCTTAAACATGGAGGAATGGAGCCGTTGAAGAGGTTGTTGGACAAATCTAAGAAGCTTAACCCTTTAGTCCTGCAGATCCACTCGGGGAATGGTCCTCGAAATGAGTTTGAGTTCATATCCAACGCTTGGATCAGTGTTTCTTGTGAAGGGTTTTCAAAGCTGCTGAAAAAATTGTTAGAAAGCGTCACCGTCGTCAATCTCCATAAGCAAGCTGGTACTTGGCCTTCCAACTTGTTGTTGGCAAGATTAAGATTAAGGAGGTTGACTAACTTTGATATGGATCTAGGGATTGGTCCACTGAAACTGTTTTCACAAAGATTTAAGTCTCCAAGGTTGAGAAATTTAGATATGGATTCTGGTATTAGGCCGTAGAATTCGTTGCGAGCAAGGGATATAAGCTCTAGCTTAGGAGATGATGAAGAAGATGTATTAGCAAACTCTATAGGTCCTATAAATTGGTTATCTTCCAAATAAACCACTTGTAAGGAAGGAATCGTGAACAGTGATTTAGGGAAAGGCCCGAAAAATGAGTTTGCAGCAACATCGAAATGCTCCAAGTTGTGGAATCCACTCATGTCAGAAGGAAGCGTGGATGTGAAGTTATTAGAGCGGAGGCTAATATGATAAAGCTTTGTTAAATTGGCTAATGAAATAGGAATACTGCCATTTAAGCTGTTTTGGCCAAGTGACACGACTTGTAGTTCATTAAGGTTTCCAATGGAAGCCGGAACTTGACCTACCAAATGATTAATCGAAAGTCTAAGATCTAAGAGGCCAGAAAGGTTTCCTAGCGAAGAAGGAATCACTCCTGTGAGCTCGTTAGCCGCAAGGCTAAGGTATCTGAGCTGGTTTAGATTGCCTATTGAACTTGGAATTTGTCCTATGAGAGTGTTAGCTCCAAGGTTAACGTGTCTAAGACGCTTTAGATTGCTTATTGAAGCTGGAATCTCACCTACCAGATCATTATGAGAAAGGTCAACAACTGTGAGACGAGAAAGGCTTCCTAGTGAAGAAGGAATCTCTCCTTGGAGGTAGCAATAACTAAGGTTTAGGTGACGAAGATATTGGAGTTTGAAAAGGCTACTGTTAGCTTTCAAAGAGCCGTTGAGAAAGGTTTCAAAGAGGTTGAGTGATATCACCTGGCCAGATTTATCATCGCACGTGACTCCCTTCCAAAAACAGAAATCAGTACTGTTCTTGTTCCACGGACTTGGGTCTAACTCATCAATCGGAAACTCGTCTTTGAACTCCAAAAGAGCCTCTCTCTGGTCTTCGAGGCAAAAGTGAAGTGGAGGAGAAGCAAGAGTGTGGATTGTGAGAGAGAAATAGATAGCAATAATAACAGAAAAGCAATACGAATGGCTTCGAGTCATGATATCTTTTTTTTTTTTTTCAGTTTGTGTTGTAACTTGTAAGTAATGTGTAATGTTGTCTGATGGCTTCATTGCCTCTGTTAAGAAGAAGAAGGACACTATTTAGTGGGGCTGTGACTTAGCAAGTCTTGCGTCAACACATTAAATTCGGTTAGGTTTAGCATAAATGAATTGTACCACTTGTCCCCGACACTTTCCACATTAACCAATGGGACTCGTTTAATCCTCACAAAAATCTCTCGTAAAGTTTAATTTGTAACCATATGTTTTTGAGATCCCCTATATAATGATGTGTCACTAGACTCACTACTATAGAATTTCTTACAAAATTTTAAAAAACATTTATGTTACTAGACTAATTATATAATATATCATTATACATTTTTTTGTTAGGCTAACATTAATGAAAATATAAGTTATTCAAATATTAATATTTCTATGCAAATATAAAGTATACAATATTACATTAACTAAAAAATAATTAAAAAAAATTAAGTCAACAGTCCAACAAAATATGTTTTAAATTTTTATATAATTTATTAAATTATAAATAGTTTTACATTTCAAAATATTTTAATAAATATCCTAACTATTATATGTAATAGTTGAAAAATTCTAGATTAGTATTTACATGCAAATATATGATTGTATTTATTTTAAAAAAAAATAAAATTGAATATATTATTACATAAATTTTTTTTAAAAATACATTTGTTTAAAAATAATTATAGAATAATTATTTTACTATAATACATAAATTCACTATTATAAAATTATGGCCTAATTATTTACATGCAAATATATAATTATATTCAATTTAACAATTATCAAATTAAATATATATTAGTACATTAAATTTTAAAAATGTACATTTGAAAAAATATTATGTGATAAGTTTTATATTAATATTTGCATGCAAATATATTATTCTATTTGATTCAAAAAAAATGTCAGACTAAATATATATTATTACATAAAAGTTTTAAAACATACATCTATTTAAAATTATTATGTGAAATAGCTTTTTACATTAATGTAAAAATTCACTTTAATAAAATTCTGAACTAAATACCAAAAAAAATACTATATACATACTCAAATTTTAGTCATCAACTTATCAAACAACATTATAAATCACATACAACCACACATACAACCACCGTACAACTAATCATACAACTACTATATCGGTTGCATAGATAACCATACCAATCAAACCAATTCATGGCTAACTACATTACTAAAAGGCATAATAGGATACGAACAAAAGTACAAAACAAATATTTAATTTATTGATGTGACTTGTCGAATTGCAACATAAACCGAATGTTTAGAATAAAAAATAATTAGAAATTGTTGTCTTATTCTTTCACCATTTGACTAAATGCTTGAAAGTTGAAACCTTAAATTACTAAATGCTCATTACACTATCGTCTCTCGTCATTGTACTGCTTCCGGAGATACATTACAGCTGCTTGTAGAGGACGCAGAGCCTGTTACGAATTTAGACTCGCTATACATTTTTTTATGACTGTTACGATGGAGTATATTTTAAGCAGGTGTGGATCCTTCATCAATATAAGGGTTGAGTTGTCTTTTAAATGTCGGAATCTCTTGTGGATAAGGATAGCACGATTGACGTGTGGGAGAAGCAACAGTGTTAAGGAACTGTGAAAAGAATAAATAAGAGAAGGAAGAATTTTTCACTAGGCTATTTTATGTAGACTACTACCACAAGTTGAAGATTTGAATAAGAGTAAGTCTCAGTTTACATTTTCAAGCCATGATAAAATACCACAAACGTCATTTATTACAAAACCATTAAATAGATAATTACAACAAAAATAAAAAATAGTCTTTTGGAGAAAACCCCTAACACGAACAAGGACATATGCTTCACAGATTCACAAAGTGACTGCATGAGCCATGAGATGAGATTAACGACCACTTCTGGCGACTCTGAGTTTTCTTCGACCAAACTTTTCAGCGAACCACTCATGATAGTGTGAAGTGAAGATATCTCCGATCACCAATCCACAAAACACACCGGGTCCATACGCTATTGCAGCTGCTACCCAGTTGAACATCGGTTCCTCCGACTCTGACACTTCCTCGGGTTGCTGTGACGTAGGAGGATTCGAAACATGGGTTTTTCCACAGATGTCTTCAAGACCGTAGAGTCTAGGGTTGTCCAAGAATGAAGAACAGTTCTGTCTTTGAAACTGGGTGCCTCGTGGGACTGGACTTTGGAGATGGTTATGGGAGAAGTTCATGTATGACAGAAATGAGAGATTACCAAGATCTTGAGGGATATGACCTGACAACTTATTACATGATAGGTCTAATGCCTCGAGCTTTGTCAAATTTGCCAAGAATCGTGGGATGTCGCTTGTGAAGGCGTTACCTGACAAGTTGAGAAGACGCAATTCCTTCAAAAGGCCAATGGATTCAGGGATTTTGCCATAAATTCTGTTTCCAGAAAAATCAATGGCTCTGAAGTCTTTTCGGATTCCCTCAAAGCTCGTCTCTACTCCTTTAATCACAATTACCATCGAATTACGGTATTCAGTAAAACTCCCGAAATCTTCCATATATTCGTTATCTCCTCCGAGAATTTACACAGACTCCTTATCTTCTTCGATCTGTGTGGTCGTCATCATTGCACCCCAATAGGAAAAATAGTAAGGCGGAAGAGTTCCGGTGAAGTCATTATGTGAAATATCGATAACTCTTAATCTCTGAAACCCAACGGAGAAGTGGCGATGAAACAACGACCCATAGAACTCGTTTGATCTCAGGATGAGAACATATAAAGATGGCAGAGATCCCAATCATGACGGAAACTCGTCCTTGATTCTGTTGCTTTCCACATTCACAAGTTGCAGAGCTTTGCACTTGATCAAAGTCCTTGGTAGTTTTCCTTGACGCTGGTTGCGACTGACGTCGAATGATATTAACTCGGTAGCGTTGACAAATATGTCTGTAAGAGTTCCACTGAAGTTGTTGTCCCCCAGAATTAGCTCTTTAACAGCAGTGAGGTTGCTTAGACATGTAGGAATCGAGCCGCTGAAGAGATTGTTGGACAAATCCAATATGAGTAACGATCTAAGCTTGCAGATGGGAGCAGGGAATGGTCCTAGGAACAAGTTTGAATTCAGTTCCAACTCTATGATCAGTGTTTCTTGTGAAGAGTTTTCAAAACTGCTGAAAGAATTGTGAGAAAGCGCCACCGTCCACATACTCCATACGCAAGCTGGTACTTGGCCTTCCAACATGTTGTTGGAAAGATCAAGATGAAGGAGGTTGGCTAACTTAGACATAGATCTAGGGATTGGTCCAGACAAATTGTTGTGTCCAAGGAACAAAACTTGGAGGTTGGGAAATTTAGATATGGATTCTGGGACTAGGCCATCGAATTTGTTACCACTCAGGTCTATAGAATAAAAGTTAGATGATAAAGATGTATTTCCAAAATCTATAGGTCCCGTGAATTGGTTTCCATCTAAAACAACAGCTTGTAAGGAAGGAATGGAGAATAAGGATTTAGGGAGAGGCCCGAAAAATGAGTTTTCACTAACATCGAAATGCTCCAACTTGTGGAATCCACTCATGTCAGTGGGAAGCGTGGATGTGAAGTTATTAGAGCGGAGGGTAATTTCGGAAAGCTTCGTCAAATTGGCGAATGAAATAGAAAAACTGCCACTTAAGTTGTTATAGCTAAGGGACATGACTTTTAGTTGGTATAGGTTTCCGATGGAAGCCGGAACTTCACCTACCAGATGATTGGAATCGAGTTCAAGTCTTTCGAGATGAGAAAGGTTTCCTAGTGAAGAGGGAATTACTCCTATGAGAGCGTTACCCCATAGGCTAAGGTATCTGAGCCGGTTTAGATTGCTTATTGAAGTTGGAATCTCACCCACCAGATTATTAGAAGAAAGGTCGACTAGTGTGAGACGAGAAAGGGTTCCTAGTGAAGAAGGAATCCTTCCTTGGAGATTGCAATTATAAAGGTTTAGGTGACGAAGATATTGGAGTCTGAAAAGGCTACTGTTGGTTTTCAGAGAGCCGTTGAGAAAGGTATCATGAATGTTGAGTGATAACACCTGGCCAGATTTGTCATTGCACTTGACTCCCTCCCAAAAACAGCAATCGCTGCTTCTATTCCACGAACTTGGAAAGGTCTTATCTTTAGGAAACTCGTCTCTGAATTCCAAAAGAGCATCCCTCTGGTCGTGGCGGCAAAAGTGGAGCGTAGGAGAAGCAAGAGTACGGAATAGGATGGAGAAAAAGATGGTAATAACACCAGAAAAACAGTAACAATGGTTTCGAATCATCATATCTCTCTTTTTGGGTTTGTGCCGTAAGTAATGGGTTATGTTGTTGTATGCTTCACTGGTTCTCTTTAAGAAAGAAGAAGAAGAAACGTATTGACTAGGTAAGTCCTGCGTCAACTCGTCGGGTTCCCATTGATTGCACAAGTCTTCGTCCTCAAAATTGTGACACTTGTTTCAAAATTCTCCACAATTCACATAAACAGTTGGCTCATAATCCTCTCCAAAAGATTTTCTTAAATTATATTCAAGTTCTGTATATTTCTTTTCTTTTCTTTCTGTTACTGACTAATGATGCAATATCAGAACACAGTGAATCAAATATTATTTATTATATGGATTTATTATCAGAATTTCATGTTCATAATTTCCAAAAAAAGTTAAAGAATTTTCATTCAATCTTCAAAGCAAAATTGGTGATAAAAAGACCACTATTTGATTTAGCTCATTTTTACCCTTTTGTTTAAATATAAATAATTTAATTTAAATATAATTTATTGTAAATATTTTTTTATAAGAGTTATAAAAGCTCATCTATTATCATTGTAAAATGTATAGAAATTTTTGAAAATCAAGAGAGAATTTTCTCTAAAAGCTTAGACTTTGTTTATTTTTGTCTTTAGATTCATTTGTTTCTACTGATTCTTTGAATATAATTGTTTGTGTGATTCAGACAAATATAGTTCCAACAACTTAGTAAGTCAGCATTTCCACCGATTGAGTGAGTCAATTACAAATTCCATCTCCATTAGACCATCTTTATTTCGTCTATTTTCTGCCAAAGCTTATCAACTTTTGACATCTTGTGATCAGCAAGATTTGATATGATTTCAGTCATATATCATTTAATATCAGAACTAAAAGTTCATATCATCTATCTTTTTCATTTCTATTTTGTTTTTATTTCATGTTTTATCGCAATTTTCATTAAAAAATACAAAAAATGTTTGGACTGCTTTTGTTCTTTAATTTTTATAAATATTTTTGTTTAAACCACAAAATAGCTTTATGTTTTTGTTTTTTGATTCATAATTTTATTGAAACACATAAAACCATTTATTTCATTAGAAAAATAATAATTCAAAGTTTGTTTTTATATAAAAAAAATTGTTACCATTTGTTTCTAGTTTTTATTTATGTTTCCTATATAAAAAACCATAAACATAGTTTTCTTATTTTTCTTAAAAAGTTTATAAAAAAATGGAAAACATCTATATTTATCTCTCCGAGGATGAGAAATTTACATGATTTTTGTATGTCGTCAAAAATTCCATAGTAAAGAAAACGAAGGTTGACGATATGGATCTACGGGTTGGTCCAATGAAATTGTTTTCGCAAAGAATCATCTCTCCGAGGTTGAGAAATTTAGATATATATGGATTACGGGATGGAATTTGTTACCAGCAAGGGATAGAAGCTCTAGCTCATAGGGAAGCGTGGGTGTGAAGTTATTAGAGCGGAGGCTAATATGATAAAACTTGGTTAGATTGGTGATGTGGATCCCTCATCAATATTAGGGTTGAGTTGCCTTTTAAATACCGGAATCTCTTTTCGTTTGTTTTTTAGATATAGAAATCGTCATGGGCAAGGATAGTCCGATTGACGTGCGGGAGACGCAAGACTTTTCATTAGGCTATTTACGTAGACTACGAGTTGAAGATTTGAATAAGTGGAAGTTTCCGTTTACATTTGCAAAGCCAATATATTAAATAGATAAATACCACAAACGGCGTTTATTACAAAACCGATAAATAGAAAATTACAAAATTCAGTAAAACTGCGTACAAGGACATATATGCTTCACAAATTTTATAGAGCGATTGCAAGAGATGAGACTACTGATCACCTCTGCTAACTCTGAGTTTTCTTCGACCAAACTTTTCTGCGAACCACTCGTGAGTATGTGAAGTGAAGACATGTCCGATCACCAATCCGCAGAAGACACCAGGTCCGTAGGCTATTGCAGCTGCAACCCAGTTGAACATTGGTTCTCCCGACTCTGACAATTCCTCGGGTTGCTGTGACGTAGGAGGATTCGAAGCATGGTTTTTTCCACAGATGTCTTCAAGACCGTAGAGTCTAGGGTTGTCCATGAATGAAGAACAGTTCTGGCTTTGAAACTGTGTGCTTCGTGGCACTGGACCTTGGAGAAGGTTATGGGAGAAGTTCATGTATGATAGAAATGAGAGTTTACCAAGGTCTTGAGGGATTTGACCTGACAACTTATTACATGATAGGTCTAATGCCTCGAGCTTCGTCAGATTTACCAAAGATCGTGGGATATCGCCAGTGAAGGCGTTACCTGATAAGTTGAGAAGACGCATTTCCTTCAAAAAGCACAAAGATTCAGGGATTCTGCCATAGATTCTGTTTCCGGAAAAATCAATGGCTCTGAAGTCATTCCGGATCCGCTCAAAGCTCATCTCTACTCCTTTAATCACCATGTCCACAGACTCATAGTTATCAGGAACGAAAGTAGATGAATCAAAATAAGAATCAAAAAAAGAAGTTGATTGCATGTACGGCTCATCTTCTCCACTCAATGTGGTCATTCCACGCCAGCTGGAAAAAAATGAGGTGGGAGAGTTCCGGTGAAGTCATTATGTGAGATATCGATGACTCTTAAACTCTGAAACCCAACGGACACGTGTCGATGATACAACGGCCCATAGAACTCGTTTGACCGGAGACTAAGAACATGTAATGACGGCAGAGATCCCAACCATGATGGAAACTCGTCCTTGAAATTGTTGCTTCCCACATTCACATGTTGCAGAGCTTTGCAGTTGATCAATGACTTTGGAAATTTTCCTTCGAGATGGTTGCGGCTAACGTCGAGTGATCGTAAGTTGGTAGCATCGGCAAATATATCTGGAAGGGTTCCACTGAAGTTGTTCTTCCCCAGAGTCAACTCCATAAGAGAACGAGTGGAACTGCTTAAACATGGAGGAATGGAGCCGCTGAAGAAGTTGTTGGACAAATCCAAAAACTGTAACCATGTAAAGTTGCAGACCCAACGGGGAAATGGTTCTCGGAAGGAATTCGAATTCAGATCCAACCGATGGATTTCTGTTTCATATGAAAAGTTCTCAAAACTGTTGAAAGAGTTGTGAGAAAGCATCACCGTTGGCGTGCTCCATAAGCAAGCTGGTACTTGACCTTCCAACTTGTTGGCAAAATCAAGATGGCGGAGGTTGGCTAACTTTGATATAGATCTAGAGATTGGTCCACTGAAATTGTTTCGGCAAAGATCTAGATCTTTAAGGTTGATAAATTTAGATATGGATTCTGGGACTAGGCCATCGAATTTGTTACGAGCAAGGTGTAGAACTTCTAGCTTAGGCAATGGCGAAGAAGAGGATGTATTCTCAAATTCTATAGGTCCCGTGAATTGGTTTCCTTCCAAAGAAACGATAATTAACGAGGAAATGGTGAACAGGGATTTAGGGAAAGGCCCGAAAAACAAGTTATTACTAACATCGAACCACTCCAAGTTGTGGAGTCCACTCATGTCAGATGGAAGCGTGGATGTGAAGTTATTAGAGTCGAGGAAAATTCGAGAAAGCTTGGTTAAATTGGCGAATAGTTTAGAAAAACTGCCTCTTAAGCTGTTATCGCCAAGGGACATGTCTTCCAGTTCGTTTAGGTTTCCGATGGAAGCCGGAACTTCACCTACCAGATGATTGTTCCCGAGTTCAAGAGTTTCCAGACGAGAAAGGTTTCCTAGTGAAGAAGGGATCTCTCCTGTGAGGGCGTTACCCCTGAGGCCAACAAATGTGAGACGAGAAAGGGTTCCTAGTGAAGAAGGAAACATTCCTTGGAGATTGCAATTATAAAGGCTTAACTCACGAAGATATTGGAGATTGAAAAGGCTACTGTTGGTTTTCAGAGAACCGTTAAGAGACTTATCAGAAAGGGCGAGTGATATCACCTGGCCAGATTTATGATCGCACTCGACTCCCTCCCAAAGACAGCAATCACTGCTCTTGTTCCACGAACTTGGAAAGGTCTCACCAGTACGAAACTCGTCTTTGAATTCCAAAAGAGTTTCCCTCTGGTCGTGGCGACAAAAGTGGAGCCTAGGAGAAGCAAGACCGTGGATTAGAATGGAGGAAAGGATTCCAATAACACCAGAAAAGCAATAACAATGGTTACGAATCATCATATCTCTTTCTTGAGTTTGTATGGGTTATGTTGTATGCTTCACTGGTTCTCTCTTTAAAGAGAAGAACACTATCTAGTCAGTGGGGACTGTGACTTTAGAAAGTCTTCGTCAATGAATTGTGCCAAATAGTCTCAAAATTCTCCGGAGAAACTTCAACCCTTCTCAAAATATCTCTTAACGTTTCCTAGACTTCACGTTTTATTTTAACTTCTTCTACCATTTTTTTTTTTGTTACTCTATTACTACCGTTGGCTATATGGACAACGATTCGACATAAAACATTTACCAAAATGATCACCCAAGAGAAAGTTTTCGACTTTCCATTCAGCATTAAACCTTCAATTTTTACCTTAGCCAGATTCTATTACGAAAACAAAAAATATATATCATCGTTCTTCACAGATCACTAGACTGTGACCGTCTGAAAAAGATGGTTCTAAAAATTAGCTGTACCTTTTTAATTACACAGAGCTCCGGTTAGACACTGATTTCCGCATCGACGAGTTGTCGGAGAAGATGATCGTCGTCGTAGCGTCGATTGTCTCGCGAGTTACGACGAGACGAAGACTGCGCGTGGTTCGTTTCCAAATTGATAGCCTGCGAAAGCCCATTATTTGGAATGGCCCATCTATTAGCTCATTTGTTAATTCCTACTTTTCTTCAAGTCAAAAGCCCATATAGCAACTCATTTTTTTGACATGCTCATTTGTTTTTGTTAAATTTTACTTTTAGGTTAGTTTTTTTTTGTTTTTTTTTTACAATGCTCATGTACTGTATATCTCTCCACTTGGTTACTTTCTTTGCTTTCGTGTAGAACAAAAAATATTTGGGGTCAAACTAAACTATTTACATGATGTTTTTTATGATGTCAAAATCTATTGTAAAGGTTCATGCATCTATTACTTTTTTTTTTGCAAGATTATAAGATCAAGGAGGTTTCTAACTTTGATATGGATTTAGAGGTTGGTGCACTGAAATTCTTTTCGCTAAGATTTATCAATGTTGAGAAATTTAGATATGGATTAATTGGTTATTTTCCAGATCACACACTTGTAAGGAAGGGAACGAGAATAAGGATTTAGCTGCGAAAGGGCCGAAAAATGAGTTATTACTAACATCTAAATGCTCCAACTCCAAATTGTGGAATCCACACTCATGTCATAGACAGATAGACTCATAGGAAAGCGTGGGTGTGAAGTTATTAGAGCGGAGGCTAATATGATAAAACTTGGTTAAATTGGCGATGTGGATCCCTCAATATATTAAGGTTGAGTTGCCTTTTAAATGCCGGAATCTCGTCGTTTGTCTTTTAGAAATAGAAATCGTTATGGTAAGTATAGTCCGATTGACGTGCAGGAGAAGCAAGACTATTCATTAGGCTATCTATGTAGACTTACTTGTTGAAGATTTGAATAAGTGGAAGTTTCCGTTTACATTTGCAAAGCCAATATATCAAATACCACAAACGGCGTTTATTACATAACCATAAAGAAAAAAAAAAAAAGACGACTCTTTTGAAGAAGACAACTGGAAATTTCAGTAAAAACGCGAACAAGAACATATGCTTCAGAAATTCGTAGAGCGATTGCAAGAGATGAGATTAACGACCACTTCTGGCGACTCTGAGTTTTCTTCGACCAAACTTTTCTGTAAACCACTCATGATAGTGTGAAGTGAAGATATGCCCAATCACCAATCCACAAAACACACCGGGTCCATAGGCTATTGCAGCTGCTACCCAGTTGAACATTGGTTCTCTCGACTCTGACACTTCCTCGGGTTGCTGTGACGTAGGATTCGAAACATGGGTTTCTCCGCAGATGTCTTCAAGACCGTAGAGTCTAGGGTTATCCAAGAATGAAGAACAGTTCTGTCTTTGAAACTGGGTGCCTCGTGGCACTGGACCTTGGAGAAGGTTACTTGAGAAGTTCATGTACGACAGAGAAGAGAGATTACCAAGATCTTGAGGGATTTGACCTGACAACTTATTACGCGATAGGTCCAATGCCTCGAGCTTTGTTAGGTTTGCCAAGGATCGTGGGATATCACCTGTGAAGGCGTTACCTGACAAGTTGAGAAGATGCAATTCCTTCAAAAGACACAAAGATTCAGGGATTTTGCCAGAAATTCTGTTTCCGGAAAAATCAATGGCCTTAAAGTCTTGTCGGATCCGCTCAAAGCTCGTCTCTACTCCTTTATTCACCATTTCCATCGAATTACGATATTCAGTGAAATTCCCCACACCTTCCATATACTCGCTATGTTCTTCAATCTGCGTGGTCGTCGTCATTTCACGCCAGTAGGAAAAATAGTAAGGTGGAAGAGTTCCGGTGAAGTCATTATGTGAAATATCGATAATTCTTAAACTCTGAAACCCAACGGTGACGTGGCCATGAAACAACGACCCATAGAACTCGTTTGATCTTAGGATGAGCACATATAGCGACGTCAGAGACCCCAACCATGACAGAAACGTGTCCTTGAATCTGTTGCTTTCCACATTCACAAGTTGCAGAGCTTCGCAGTTGATCAAAGTCCTTGGAAAGTTTCCCTCAAGCTGGTTGCGACTGACGTCGAATGATAGTAACTTGGTAGCGTTGGCAAATATATCTGGAAGAGTTCCACTGAAGTTGTTGTTCCCAAGAATTAGCTCTGTGACAGCAGTGAGATTGCTTAAACATGTGGGGATAGAGCCGCTGAAGAGATTGTTGGACAAATCTAAAAGATCTAACCATCTAAGCTTGCAGATCCAATCAGGAAATGGTCCTTGAAATGAATTCGAATTCAGATCCAACTGTTGGATCAGTGTTTCTTGTGAAGAGTTTTCGAAGCTGCTGAGAAAATTGTGAGAAAGCTTCACTAACAACAATCTGCATAAGCAAACTGGTACTTGGCCTTCCAACATGTTGTAGGAAAGATCAACACGATGGAGGACTAGCTTTGATACAGATCTAGGGATCTTCCCAGTGAAATTGTTGTGTTGGAGATGCAAGTCTTCGAGGTTGGGAAACTTAGATATGGATTCCGGGATTGGGCCATCGAACCTGTTACCACCCAAATCTATAACACCCGTGAATTGGTTATTATCCAAATAAACAGTTTGTAAGCAAGGAATGGAGAATAAGGATTTAGGGAAAGGCCCGAAAAACGAGTTGTTACCAACATCGAAATGCTCCAACTTGTGGAATCCACTCATGTCAGAGGGAAGCGTGGATGTGAAGTTATTAGAGCGGAGGCTAATATTGGAAAGCTTGGTTAGATTGGCGAATGAAATAGAAAAACTGCCACATAAGCTGTTATGGCCAAGCCACATGGCTTTTAGTTCCTTTAGGTTTCCGATTGAAGCCGGAACTTCACCTACAAGATGATTGGACTCGAGGTAAAGACTTTCAAGACAAGAAAGGTTTCCGATGGAAGCCGGAACTTCACCTACCAGATGATTGTTTCCAAGAACAAGGTTCTCGAGACAAGAAAGGTTTCCTAATGAAGAAGGAATCTCTCCTTTGAGCTCGTTACCCCAGAGGCTAAGGTTTCTGAGCTGGTATAGCTTGCCTAATGAAATTGGAATTTCTCCTATGAGAGCGTTACCCCCAAGGCTAAGGTGCCTTAACCGCTTCAGATTGACTATTGAAGTTGGAATCTCACCTACCAGTATATTATTGGAAAGGTCAAGAACTGTGAGACGAGAAAGGTTTCCTAGTGAAGAAGGAATCTCTCCTTGGAGGTAGCACTCTTGGAGGTTTAGGTGACGAAGATATCGGAGTCTGAAAAGGCTAGTGTTAGTTTTCAAATAGCCGTCGAGATAGGCGTAATGAAGGTCGAGTGATAAATTGTAGGTAGCAGTTTTATTCTTTTTCAATCTTTCTAATGTTAAATTTTTGTTATCATTGAAATTCCCCCTTTTTAAAATGTGTGGTCTAATTTTTTATTTTTTTCTGTGGTCGAATATAGTCTACTTTCAACGCAAGAAAACGTTTTTCTATACATAGCATTTATTAACCTGTAGAATTTCTCTCCTGGGTGGGTGGCAGATCTTGTTCTCTCGAAAACGTTGGCATAAAACTATCAAAATGATCACCGAAGAGCTATAGCACAGTCTCATGTAATTTCGAATTCAGATTAATCAGAGTCCCATGTGTTTTTTCACTAGATTGTTGTTGATTTATAAGTGTAAAAGTTACTCCCAGTTGACTCTGACTTTAAGCAGGTGTCGATCTAAGGGTGAGTTGTCTTTTAAATGTCGGAATCTCTTCATTTTTTGTTTTAGAGTCGAAATTGTTATAAGCAAGGAGAGTACGATTGACGTGTGGGAAAAGCAAGAGCGTTCGGGAACTGTGGAAAGAAAAAGAGAAGGAAGAGTTACCACTAGGCGGATATTTATGTAGACTACCACAAGTTGTATATTTGAATAGTAAGAAGTCCCGGTTTACATTTTCAAACCAATATACAGTAACAGTATATCAAATACCACAAACGGCGTTTATTACAAAACCATTAAATAGACAAATTACAACAAAAATAAAAACAAGTCTTTTTGGAGAAAACACCTAGAAAATTCAGTACAGAGATACGAACAAGGACACATATGCTTAACAAATTCATATAACGACTGCATGAGATGAGATTAACGACCACTTCTGGCGACTCTGAGTTTTCTTCGACCAAACTTTTCTGTAAACCACTCATGATAGTGTGAAGTGAAGATGTGTCCGATCACCAATCCGCAAAACACACCGGGTCCATAGGCTATTGCAGCTGCTACCCAGTTGAACATCGGTTCTTCCGACTCTGACAATTCCTCGGGTTGCTGTGACGTAGGAGGATTCGAAACATGGGTTTTTCCACAGATGTCTTCAAGACCGTAGAGTCTAGGGTTGTCCATGAATGAAGAACAGTTCTGCCTTTGAAACTGGGTGCCTCGTGGTACTGGACCTTGGAGATGGTTATGGGAGAAGTTCATGTATGATAGAAAGGAGAGTTTACCAAGGTCTTGAGGGATTTGACCTGACAACTTATTACGCGAGAGGTCCATTGTCTCAAGCTTTGTCAATTTTGCCAAGGATCGTGGGATGTCGCTTGTGAAGGCGTTACCTGACAAGTTGAGAAGACGCAATTCCTTCAAAAGGCCAATGGATTCAGGGATTTTGCCAGAAATTCTGTTTCCGGAAAAATCAATGGCTCTGAAGTCTTGTCGGATCCGCTCAAAGCTCGTCTCTACTCCTTTGTTCACCATTTCCATCGAATTACGATATTCAGTGAAATTCCCCACACCTTCCATATACTCGGTATATTCTTCAATCTGTGTGGTCATTTCATGCCAGTAGGAAAAATAGTGAGGTGGAAGAGTTCCGGTGAAGTCATTATGTGAAATATCGATAATTCTTAAACTCTGAAACCCAACGGTGACGTGGCCATGAAACAACGACCCATAGAACTCGTTTGACCTGAGGATGAGAACATTTAGTGATGGCAGAGATCCCAACCATGATGGAAACTTGTCCTTGATTCTGTTGCTTTCCACATTCACAAGCTCCAGAGTTTCGCAGTTGACCAAAGACTTTGGAAGTGTTCCCTCAAGCTGGTTGCGACTGACGTCGAATGATAGTAACTCGGTAGCATTGGCAAATACATCTGGAAGAGTTCCACTTAAGTTGTTGTTCCCAAGAATTAGCTCTCTAACAGCAGTGAGATTGCTTAAACATGTAGGAACCGAGCCGCTGAAGAGATTGTTGGACAAATCTAAAACCCGCAACCATCTAAGCTTGCAGATCCAATCAGGCAATGGTGCTTGGAATGAATTCGAATTCAGATCCAACAGTTGCATCAGTGTTTCTTGTGAAGAGTTTTCGAAGCTGCTGAAAAAATTGTGAGAAAGCTTCACTGACAACAATCTGCATAAGCAAGCTGGTACTTCACCTTCCAACATGTTGTAGGAAAGATCAAGACCATGGAGGACTAGCTTTGATACAGATCTAGGGATCTGCCCAGTGAAATTGTTGTGTTGAAGACGCAAGTCTTCGAGGTTGGGAAACTTAGATATGGATTCCAGGATTGGGCCATGGAACTCGTTACCACCCAGGTCTATAACACGAAGCTTAGATGAAGAAGATGTATTCTCAAAATCTATAGGCCCTGTGAATTGGTTTCCTTCCAAAGAAACAGTTTGTAACGAAGGAATGGAGAATAATGATTTAGGGAAAGACCCGAAAAAAGAGTTTGCAGCAACATCGAAATGCTCCAAGTTGTGGAAGCCACTCATGTCAGAGGGAAGCGTGGATGTGAAGTTATTAGAGCGGAGGCTAATATTGGAAAGCTTGGTTAGATTGGCGAATGAAATAGAAAAACTGCCACTTAAGTTGTTATAGCTAAGAAACATGACTTTTAGTTGGTATAGGTTTCCCATGGAAGCCGGAACTTCACCTACAAGATGATTGGACTCGAGTTCAAGACTTTCGAGACAAGAAAGGTTTCCGATGGAAGCTGGAACTTCACCTACCAGATGATTGTTTCCAAGAACAAGATTCTCAAGACAAGAAAGGTTTCCTAGTGAAGAAGGAATCTCTCCTATGAGAGCGTTACCCCTGAGGCCAAGGTATCTGAGCTGGTTTAGCTTGCCTATTGAACTTGGAATTTCTCCTATGAGAGCGTTACCCTCAAGGCTAAGGTGTTTTAGCCACTTTAGATTGACTATTGAAATTGGAATCTCACCTACCAAATAATTATGAGAAAGGTTGATAAGTGTGAGACGAGAAAGGTTCCCTAGTAAAGAAGGAATTTCTCCTTGGAGATTACAACCCAAGAGGTTTAAGTGACGAAGATGTTGGAGTCTAAAAAGGCTACTGTTAGTTTTCAAAGAGCCGTTGAGAGAGGGATTATAAGGCTCGAGTGATATCACCTGGCCATATTTATCATCGCACCTGACTCCCTCCCAAAAACAGCAATCACTGCTCTTGTTCCACGTTTTTGGGTCAAACACACCAGTAGGAAACTCGTCTCTGAATTCCAAAAGAGCATCCCTCTGGTCGTGGCGGCAAAAGTGGAGCGTAGGAGAAGCAAAACTGTGGAATAGGATAGAGAGATAGATCGTAATGATACCAAAAAAGCAATAACGATGGTTTCGGATCATCATATCTCTCTTTCTTGAGTTTGTCTTGTAAATAACACTGTCTCTCTTTCAGGAGAAGAAGAAAGCTACTTAGTGGGGCTGTGACTTAGCAAGTCTTGCGTCAACTCGTTGCATTCGGTTGATTTATCAAAGTCTTCGTCAATGAACTGTGCCAATTCAGTATCTAAACTCTAAAGTCTTCCGCTATTAATTGTGCCAAAATTGTCTTCAGTATTATTGATGTGGATCAGCAACTATTAGTTTATTATAAATTAATTCATTTGTTTCTGAGAAACAGAAGGTATTCAACTTATTTCACATATCGACCCTTTAAAGTTAAATTATTTCTTTTATAACCAAAACCAAAGTTCTATTTATTTGTGATTTTTCCAATTAAAAAAAAAGTAAATATTCCAACGAATCCAGAATTCTAATGGATTTTTGTTTATTGGTAAGGTCAAAATTTGAATATTTTGTTTGTACAGTAATATCAATCGATGTTAAATTATACGTTTGTAAAGTTATATATGCAAGTATTATCTAATTCTTTCTTTTGTTGACCAGTGTTATGATTTTCTTCTAATTAATTTTCTGCGATGTATTAATTATCAGACCTCATTTTACTAAAATCTATATCATACTCGTCCAAAAAAAAAACAAAAACAACAGTTTGTCCTCCCAACCATAAGTGATATGTGAAGTGAAAGCCATATAGAAGTAACAACATGAAATAATAATAAAATCTTGCGAAGAAGGTAAAGAAACACCTTTTTATTAGTAGAGAATAAATACTAAAAATCTTGGGTTTCGAAAACCAATGAATTCTTCGTGTAGTATTAAAGACCGAGGCATGGTAATAATGTAAGAGAGAGAGAAAAAAAACCATTAGATATTGTAACTTTGCTTAATATTGAAATCGAATTCTCATCTTCCATTAGTCTCATGCAAACCCCTTTAATTATCTTTACGGGAGGGAAATAATAATATGATATTCGAATCCTATTAGTGACATCGAATGATTACAGTTACATCAATAAGTTATAACCACCTAAATCTTCATCACGCGTCTGTTTAAACCGTGATAAATATATTATACTCATAATAATAATCATTGAACTAATTCATCTAATGTCATAAGATCAATGACATCGAGCAGACACGTTGTCCCCTTTTTATTCGCTTTTGTAATCGCTCAAACTAAAAAGAATGTCCCAGGAAAAAAGCAAATAAAGAGGGATGGTCGAAGAATGATTTAATTAACATGCATAAAAAGAGGAACAAATAGTAAAGTGGATTAAGGTATCAATTTCGTCTCCATTACACCAAACACTTTTTGATTAAGTCCCAAGACTCGGCGCCGTTATCTTGGCGCCATTCACGCTTCCCTCTTATCTTTTAATTTGTCGATTCTTTTAAATTCACAATCCCTTGAACCCTAACCTAATTTAACTATAAACTACCTAACTATATACGCCTAAAAGCAACATATGAAACACATTATCTCACTATATCCAATTATCCTCATCCATAATGGAAACTCAAAGTAACAACCATATAAAATTTACCCAGCAGTAACTAAACATTAAGGACATTTAAGGTAACCATGTGATGTAATAATTTCTCAATAAAGTAATGTTTTACAATAGCCTTAGCTGTTCATAAATGAAGTTTTACTTCAGTCTTTTTTCTAATAGTAAAATGAAAATTATTACAATATGTGTTTGTAAAACAAAATCGCGTAGCGTATTCCATACAACAAGACTTGATTCGAGTAAAACGCAATACATATATCAAGCAGTTTACGAATGCGTTATACCACATAATCTTTGTAAAAAACAACTTTTGCATTTGGCTTTTGACCATCACAGTGAATCTGTAGGCAGACGCAAAGTCGTTACGTGCGTTTATATTTCCTTCATTCATGTGCCCGCTTTTAGAACAAAATACTACTTTCTTGCTTCCCCATGCCTACTAATGGCAAACCTATTGTTTTATTCCATTTTTCGATTGTTCTCTATGTTAAAATAGTCTCTTTTTTCAGCATTTCATGAAGGGATTTAACAACTTACAGAAAAAGCAAAAAAGAACAAGAGGGATATAAATGGATAAACAAAGGTAAAGACTAAAAGATGATCATTAGACAGAAAAAGAAAAAAAAAGGGATTTGGTCGGATAAATTAAGGTAAAGATAAACCAGAAAATAGAATTAAAATAAAATAGATTGGAGAAATTAAGGTTAACTAAGGTTACTTTGTCCCAAAAAGCCATATTTATCGCTTCCATCAGCGCCGGATCAATCTCTCTCCTATCTCTGCATCTCTCTCTCTCTTTCTGTGTATATATATGTGGAGCTTTCATATCATAGACTCGTACCTCAAAACTCAAAAGTAAATAACTTCTCCGTCTTTGGAAAATGACTTCTCCTTTCTTCATCGTTTTCCTGTTCTCGTCTCTTCTCATGGGAAATGCTGATGCCAGCCCAAATTACAGAGAAGCTCTCACCAAGTCATTGCTCTTCTTCCAAGGTCAGCGATCTGGTCGTCTCCCTAGGGACCAACAAGTCTCCTGGAGGGCTAGCTCCGGCCTTTCCGATGGCTCCACCGCTCATGTACACCCCTAAAAACAATTAAACATGTCACAGGCAATATCTTTCTCAGTAACATTGATAACTAATCAAGCAGGAGAATGTTATATGAATTTGCAGGTGGACTTAACCGGTGGGTACTACGACGCAGGAGACAACGTCAAGTTCAATTTCCCAATGGCGTATACCACCACAATGCTCTCATGGAGCGCACTTGAGTACGGTAAGCGGATGGGTCCCGAGCTGGAAAACGCACGTGTGAACATCCGTTGGGCGACGGATTATCTGCTGAAATGTGCTAGAGCCACTCCGGGAAAGCTTTACGTCGGGGTAGGAGATCCTAACGTCGATCACAAATGCTGGGAACGGCCTGAAGACATGGACACGCCTCGTACAGTCTACTCTGTATCCCCTTCTAACCCCGGTTCTGATGTCGCAGCTGAGACCGCAGCAGCTCTGGCTGCAGCTTCTATGGTTTTCAGAAAAGTTGATTCCAAGTACTCGCGTTTGCTGCTGGCAACAGCTAAGGACGTGATGCAGTTTGCCATTCAGTACAGAGGAGCTTATAGTGATTCCCTTTCTTCATCCGTCTGTCCTTTCTACTGCTCCTACTCTGGTTACAAGGTCTGATTTCATCTCTTTCCCGAGAGGCAAAATCTCAATGAATCATTGCAACTAAACCACTCTTACACTACACGGGATCCTCATTTTAAAAATGTATGATGGCAGGACGAGCTGATGTGGGGTGCGGCGTGGTTGTTGAGAGCAACCAATGAACCTTATTACGAAAACTTGATAAACTCTTTAGGAGGTGGAGATCAGCCTGATATCTTCAGCTGGGACAACAAATATGCTGGTGCCTATGTTCTTCTTTCACGGGTGTGTCTCACTGCTAATAAAAAAAGAGTCATAGAGCATAGCTTAAGAATCTCACTATAAGACTCACTAATTCACAACGAAATCTGTTACTTTTCGCAGCGAGCATTACTTAACAAAGACAGCAACTTTGAAACGTACAAGCAAGCAGCTGAGAATTTCATGTGCAAGATCCTACCAAACTCTCCTTCTTCCTCTACACAATACACTCAAGGTGACTTCAACACACGTTCTTCAATAAGAATCGATACAACTGTAAATGTTTTCTCCTAGGCATCTTAAAACCATGATTAAACGATGACCCATCTCTTTCATGATTACCAATTTACAGGAGGGTTAATGTACAAGTTACCTCACAGCAATCTGCAATACGTGACCGCCATAACATTCTTGCTCACCACTTACGCCAAGTACATGAAATCCACGCGACACACGTTCAGCTGCGGAAACTCAGTCATCGTCACCGACGCCTTGTTAAGCGTATCGAAGCGGCAAGTGGATTACATACTCGGAGAGAACCCAATCAAAATGTCGTACATGGTTGGATTCGGACCCAATTTCCCCAAGAGAATCCACCACAGAGCAGCGTCTCTTCCTTCCCACGCACTTAGTTCCAAATCCTTAGGCTGCAACGGCGGATTCCAATCTTTCTACACTCAGAACCCTAACCCGAACATCCTCACAGGAGCAATCGTAGGAGGACCCAATCAAAACGATGGGTATCCAGATCAGAGAGACGATTACAGTCATTCGGAACCGGCTACTTACATCAACGCCGCCTTCGTCGGACCTTTAGCGTACTTCGCCGCCGGTAGATCGGCTTGAAATTAAAAATTCGCCCACGCCGCCACTTCCTCCGATAGTTCCTTTGTTTTGGGGAAATGGTTAGTTAGATCCGTTGGCCCAAGCCTAACGTGAAAATCAGAAAAGGACAAGTAAATTCAAATGTAAAACTCTTAATGGGCTAAGACCCAATAGTAATGGATCCGATATAATTATTAGTCGTGGTAAGATTATGGGTTTAAAATTATTTATAAACCGTGGGCTTTAATTTGCTCCATGAAATTAGTCAATGTTTTGATTATGTAAAACACTTAACTATATAATATATAAAAAAAAGACTACAATGTAGAATATTTGTCAATTCTGTTTGTTAATCCTTAATAGCTAAGCTCCATGTGATTAGTAGTGTAGTTAACGTTTGGTTGTATAAAAGAAGACTTCTAATGTAAAAAAAAGACTATAATGTAAAAAGACTATAATGTTAGAGAGGTCGGCCAAGGCGAGGTCGACGGAGAGGAATCCGCGCCAGGTGTCGGAAGAGGAGGGAGCAATCCAAGCTGGCTCTGTTAACGCCACGTAGTTCCTCAATCATTAGTCAGCCTCATGGGACCCATCTCCTTAATCCCGACCTTCATTCTCTATTCTCTACCGTTCAACTCATCTAGTTTCCTGTTTTGTATTTTTTTTGTTTTCTTGTTCGTTATTGAATTTGGTTTGGGTACAACCCAAGTCACATTAAAAGAAAAAGTAATCATTTTTCCTTGCAAAAACTTGTTTACGATTTGGGAAATTTGCAAAAAAAAGTAATCAAAAGAAAAGTGATGGAAAATTGGGACATAGTAATTCGATGAACTAAACTTGTTTACGATCGCGGCCAATAGTGTAGCGGGTACGAGTTATTATGACTACACCCCGTGTCCACCGCAGGATATTCCCCCAAAAAAGAAGAATATTTTAGCACTTCAAATAATTTAAACAAGCAAATCCTATATAAAATCTTATTCATGCATGGGTGGGATCATTTCTATACAAAGATTTTGAATATCGGAAATCCAAAAAATATCGGAGACGAAAATGTAAAAATAAACTAGATAAGGACGTTATTATTCGTTCTTTTTTTTAAAAAAACTTTTGAAAAAAAACCCTGGTTACAGCTAAGCACATAATTTGATTAGAAGGTAAGGTAACTCCATTAAGGTAAATTCTAAAGTAAAAAGAAAGACATTTAATTGCAAAATTCAAAAAATGTGGACCGGTGCCAGCTTATAAACATTGTTTCCAAGTCTTTTCTATACATTACCCATCATCACCTCTTTCTCTCTCTCTCTGTCCATTGTCTTCGCGGATCAGTGCTTGTCGACTCTACAGATTCCGCGGGTTTTCGTTTTGAAAGTCACTTTTTTTGGACTCTTCTCCTTTCATTTTACACCACAACGGTTAAAAAATATCTGGTGTAATTTGTATTCGAGTTCTATAAATCCCGTGAAAAAGTGGCAGAGATTGAGGTGCGATTCGTCGATTGTGATGCAGAGACGAGGTAGATCGCCGGAATTTTATCGACCGGGAATTAAACGATCGGAAACCCATCGGAGACGGCGGCGCTGAAAAGGGTTTGTTCTGAAGAAGCTTTCCGAGCTTCCTTTCGGTTTGTCTTCTTCAATCTGCGAGCGAATAAAAAGCGCGTTTCTTTCACCGATTCTCTCTTTAGGTAATTTCTTACTCCGACTACTTTTCAATCAGTTTTGTTTGTCTTCTTCTTGAATTTCGTATCCGCAAATGGATCTGGAAATTGATAATTTCTCTCTTCCCCTTCGCGATATCGACTTTTTATTTTATGGGTCGTTCGCTTTCTTCGATTCTCTTATCTTTTTCTATGTCAATTTAGCTTGTGGAATCATTTGGGTATCGTCGTTGCTTGAATCTATAAATCTCTTTAATTGTAGAACTCCCTTTACTTGTGTATCTGATATGCATCGCTAATCACAGGTTTGCTCTATCCATTTGAGTTTGTTTGGTGATCTGATTCTTGACTGGATGTGAAATGCAAAGATCACGGAGAGCTCTTCTGGTTAGAAGAAGAGTTTCTGAGAATACTTCGAATGGAAGGAATCGCCTCTACAAAGTTTCATTGTCTCTGGTTTTTCTCATTTGGGGGCTTTTTTTCTTATCTGCACTGTGGTTCAGCCATGGAGATGGTGACAAAGGTGACCACTTACTTCCTTATTTGGATTGAATTCGAAACATATATTTTGAAAAACGCTAAAAAAAACTGACCTTTGGTGAGTATGAAAGACCATCAAGTTGATGGTAACATCTGCTTTCAGAGCAATGACAATCATGAATGTGTATATACTTACTACTACTTTTGTTTCTCTTACCGTAACTGTATTAAAAGCTTAATCTTGCGCATTTTCAGGGAGGTCTTTAGTCGATTCGGTACGACAAGGTGATCCAGATGATGTTAGGGCAGATGAGACAGCTCAACCTGTTGATGCACCATCACTAGAGTCAGCCTTTGTTCAAGCTACACCGGATGTTCATAAAGCCACAGCCAAAGAAATCATATCGAAGCAAGTAGAAGTCGATATCACGTTTGCAGGAAACGTTACAGAAAGCAAAGACAACGAGTTTGTCAAGCAAAGTGAGATGACTGATAATAACACAGGTCCAGGGAATGATGTGGAGACCACTGCTTCAAAGCTTGATCAGCTATCTCGTGCTGTTCCTCTTGGCCTTGATGAGTTCAAGAGCAGAGTGTCCAATACTAGAGACAAATCTCTGTCAGATCAGGTCAGCGGCGTGATTCACAGGATGGAGCCTGGTGGGAAAGAGTACAACTATGCAGCCGCTTCAAAAGGCGCAAAGGTCTTGTCTTTTAACAAGGAAGCAAAAGGAGCCACAAGCATCATAAGCCGGGACAAAGACAAGTACCTCCGAAACCCGTGTTCTACTGAAGGGAAGTTCGTTGTCATAGAACTTTCGGAGGAAACGTTGGTGAACACAATCAAGATTGCAAATTTCGAGCATTACTCTTCCAATCTGAAGGATTTTGAGATTCTGGGAACCTTGGTTTACCCGACTGATACCTGGGTTCATCTGGGGAACTTCACGGCTTTGAACATGAAGAATGAGCAGAACTTTACACTCTCGGATCCCCAATGGGTGAGATATCTTAAGCTCAATTTCCTAAGCCATTACGGTTCAGAATTCTACTGCACCTTGAGTTTACTAGAAGTCTATGGAGTGGACGCTGTGGAAAGAATGCTGGAGGATTTGATATCTATCCAAGACAAAAACATAGTGAGACCACCTCAAGAAGGAGACACCGAGCAGAAAGAGAAGAAGCCATTACAAGTGACAGAGTCCTCTGAAAGCGATGAAGACGGGAGCAGACAGAAGGAGAAGGAACAAGAAACCTCGCCAGAGACTGCGGTTGTGAAAGCTGAAACATCAGTTAAAAAGCTGCTGCCAGATCCGGTGGAAGAGATGAAACATCATCAACCAGGAAGCAGAATGCCAGGGGACACGGTGCTTAAGATACTGATGCAGAAGATACGGTCACTGGACTTGAACTTATCAGTGCTTGAGTGTTACTTGGAGGAACTGAGCTCGAGATACGGGAAGATATTCAAGGAGATGGATGTGGAGTCGAGCAAGAGAGAAAAGGAGGTGGCTTCTATGAGACTGGAGGTGGAGGGAATGAAGGAGAGGCAAGAGAAGATGAAGGAGGAGGCAATAGAGATGAGTGAGTGGCGAATGAAAGTGGAGAGAGAGCTTGAGAAGGGTGAGAAAGAGAAGGAGAAAATGAAGGAGAGGTTGGAGCAAGTTTTGGAAAGAATAGAGTGGATGGAGAAGAAAGGTGTGGTTGTGTTCACCATCTGTGTCGGGTTTGGGGCTATCGCGGTTGTAGCCGCGGTTCTTGGGAAGGGGACATATCGAGCAGAGAAGCAAGGCGGTTTGGCTTGGCTTCTGTTATTGATAAGCTCAGCATTCGTTATGTTCGTTTTGTCTCTTTGATGAGAAGAGTTATCAGTTTTGGTCTTTCTTTTTGTTTTTTTTTTTTACTGTAGAGGTTAGTTAAGTCTTTTATACAGAATAAACCGATTAGAAAATGAGTTTGCTGTGCGGTGCGTAATGAGGTTTCGTATTTCAAGTAGAAAAGTTTTGGTTCAATCAAAGATCAGTTTTGATGTACTTGAAATTCCAGTTCAGTCGAGACGGTTTACAGATTTTATGGTTCTGTTAATACACTAATCTGATGTTGGTGAAAAACGCAAGTCCGATTACGAAGATTTGTGGTACCAGCTATACCATTAGTAACTTCGACCGGTTTGCTAATTGTAATGGTAGAGATTCCCTTGTAGCCGAGCATTCTGGTTGAATAGTTGTGCCTGATATGCCGGTTCAATCATTTCAAAATTACAGATTTTGTGGTTTTCTCATACCCATTTGAATTTTAGGAAGTAACCCAGTGAAAACCGTCAGAGCTCTAATTGGAGGTTTTAATATATTTTGGAACCGTTTTGGTGTACCGGTTATTATAGTGCAAGAGTCACGTGGCAGGCTAAGCCAGCAAAGGCAACCGAGGGAAGAAAAAAGGTTTAGGAGAGAGAGAGAGACGCCGAGACGGCACTGGTCTGGTTTGGTGCTAAAGCGACACGCAGGCGAACAGAATGTTCAAGAAGGCGGTGGAGGCCAAGTCTCATCAGCGTCTCTCCGGCGCCGACCGGAAGAAGCTCCGGCGTACCGTCCAAAATAGGTTTTCCCTCCTCACCGATGAGCTTCTCGACGCTATTCTTCCTCCTAAGGTTTGATTCCTCGGTTTTTTTTTCTCTCGTGTTGCATCGAGAGAAATCGAATAGATTATGCTATGGGCTTTTGTTCTTCTTCTGTCATCTGATTGATTCTCGATTATATTTCATCGGGTTTGATGCGGTACTCTCTCTTGCTTACTTTGGCATTTTTGTGTCTTTGTGTAGGTCGAGGTGACTGTTTCCAAGTTTCAGAATCGGGTTCTTGTCTACAGTATTGAAGGTGGATGTCCCATGTTTTTCGATATCGATGGAAGAGGAAATGAGATATTCCCAACAGGTTTGATGATTCAAGCACATTGCCATATGAATGGGATAGTTAGTTTTGATCATGATAAACCCATTCTGATTTTCTTCTTGTTTGTCTGCAGTTTTTGCTCTCTGGGAGGCTCCTGAAATGTTACCTTCCTTTATGTTGAAAGGAGGCGAGGTTTCACGGTATGTACTAGGCGGTGCAGATTTGATGTTTCCTGGTATTTTGATCCCCGCCGAAGGGTTTCCTTCTTTCTCAGCTGGAGAAATATGGGCTGTTAAAGTTCCTGGGAATATGGCACCTATTGCGGTAAGTCTCTTTTGTCTTTGCTAACCGATGAAACCTTCTTAACGAATGTAAAGTTTGCGTCTTGAGTTACGTGATGGTTATGCATGTTTTTGAAGGTTGGGTTTACCACAATGAGTAGTGGAGAAGCCATTAAAGCAGGTTTGCGTGGGAAGGCTTTACGGATAACTCATTATTACCGTGACTTCCTCTGGTACATGAGATGCTGACAACAGTTTGCTTTCTTTCGTTTCTTTTTGTTATCTGTGGAGTGAATCAGCCTTCTTATATTGCTAGCGTTGTGTTTCACAGGGAGTCAGCTGAGGGACACTATGTTCCAAACGCTGGTTTTACGGAGGATGTTGTCATGGAGGACCCTTCGTACCTTGCTTCTGGTTCAGGTGAAGAAATTTCAGACGCTTCAGGTGGTCCTCAGGCAAGCACAGGAAACGAAGAAGATGAATCTGCTGATGTGAGTAATCTCGGGCCTTCAACCTCAGTTACGGATGCTAAGAATGGTTCTGAAGAACATATGGCTGGTAGCATGAATGAGCTTAACTTAGCCGACGACGTTTCTGCTAATGAAGCTAATAATACCGAGAAGCAGAATACTCTCTCCCCTGAGGAGGTTGATGCCCTTCTTGACCAATGTCTTTTGCAAGCCTTGCATACAACACTCAAGGAGAAGGACCTTCCCATCCCAGGAAGCACTCTATGGTAAGAACGCCATTCAGATGCTTGAGTTACTTAGAAAGCGGACTAGATTCTCGTATTTGGTCGGTGTCTTACCTCCTGATATATGCAATCATGCTTTACCTTGTTGTGATTGGGTTGTTTTATTACGCATTTTCCTTCTCCTTACCAAGTTTGGCTTACATAGGTTTTTTTCTGTGAGTGGTTCAGGGCGAATCATGTATTACCTTGTAGGCCTTCTGGGATCACACTTGACATTAAGAAGTCCTCCCATAAAAAGCTGTCAAAGTGGCTGCAATCTAAGGCGTCTGGAGGAATGGTTAGTTATCTTTCTACTTTCCCTTGCTACGGTAATTTTCTTGCTCGATGTTATAGAATAGGAGTGTGCGTAGATGTTTCACTGCACATACCATATAGGGTTGTAAGCTGTATCTTATAAAGACTTAGTAGCACTCATTAGTACTTTAACATTTAGCCTAATATCAAGCAGATTTACTTTGGTGAGTGGTATGTACACTCATTCTGATCGTTTTAAACACATGCACAGATTTCTGTGAAAGAAGACAAGCATAAGAAGGAGATTGTGTTGATTTCGGTAAACCGTAGGCATCCAGATTACTCATCCTTCAAGCCAGAGAAAAAGAAAGCGGAAGTCTCCGAGTCTCGTGGAGACCGACCCACAACAGCACAAGCTCAGTCAGAGAAAGTGCTTGAAATCATGGAGGTCTATAAACCAAGCACACACAACAGTGCAATATTTGCATCAGTTGGGGAAGACAAAGGAAGGCTATACACAGCTTCAGAAGCCTCTGATGTTGTGTTCAGATACATCGAGAAGGAGAATCTGGTGAAGCCAACAAACAAGTCAATGGTGGTGTTGGATCCGATACTATGTGACGCGTTGTTCAAAGGAGCTATCAAGAAAGGATCAGCGTACCCGTCAGAGATTCATAAAAAGGATGTTGCACCGACGTTTATAGGGAGGATGCAGCCTAATCACCTAGTCATGAGAGGCGGTGAACCCGTGGTTCGTAAAGGAGCTATAAAGCCGGTTCAGATAATGACGGAGCGAAGACAAGGTAACAAAAAAGTGACCAAGGTCTCAGGGATAGAGACTTTCTTGATCGACCCAGACTCGTTTGGATCAGAACTGCAGAAGAAGTTTGCTTGCAGCACTTCAGTTGGAGAACTTCCAGGTACGATTATAAAATCTTTTCTTTTGTTTCTTTCTTTTGTGCAGGTGACTAACTTTTTTGTTTTGTGTTTTGTTGTGTGGCAGGCAAGAAAGGGTCCGAGGTTCTGATTCAGGGAGGTGTGATTGATGATGTTGCGAGGTATATGGTGGAACACTATGGAGTTCCAAAGAGATACATTGAAGTTCTTGATAAGACTAGGAGATGATTTTATTTGCTATAACTTTGTTATCTTTTCATTTTGTGTTGTAAACTTCTAAATTTATTGTCTGGTTTACTTGCTTTAGAGATATGTAACAAAACAAATGGGGTATTTTACTTTATAATGCAGACTAGTCATTTGTGAAAATAAAGGAAATGTTAAGTGATATATTTAGGAAAATAATTAAATAACTAGTAAAAGGTTCATATTGTCATTGGTGAACCTTATTTTCAATAGGCATTATACGTCTTCATCAGGTCTCTAACCTCTCTTTCGTCTTCATCTTCCAAGCATAATGGGCTTTTAGGCGATATAGTTAAAATGGGCTTTTAGGCGATATAGTTAAAATGGGCTTGATCCTTATTCCTGAACCCATGTCCAGGATCTATCAATGTTCTTCAGACATCACAGTCAGGGAACTACAGAAGATTGCTCGAAACTCTCATGTCTGTAATCGCGCAAGTGGGGACTTCGTGACGTTGCATTGCACCGAACAATATATAATATAAAAAAGCTTTAATATAAGCGAAGTCACCTTTTGCTCTCACCAACCACAAAGCTTTATTTACAGACAGAGACAGTGCCGCTTTCAACTGCTGCACACACACTAAAAAAAAGAAACAGGAGAGAGATAGAGATAGAGATAGAGATAGACGATGGCGTTGGCTCTTCGCAGACTCTCCTCTTCTGTTAAGAAACCGATCTCGTCTTTATCGTCCTCTAATGGCGGTTCCCTCCGTTTTATGGTTGTTCTTATTCACGCCTTTATCTTCTCAATCCCACTTCTTGGTTTTCTTCTCGTCTGATTCTGATCCATTTCTCATGTTTTCAATGCTCAGTCGTCTTTGTCAACCTCGGCTATGGCGGAGTCTGAGAGATCTCGTTCCAGTGTAAAATATCGTTCTTTTGCTTTATATGTAAATACGTTGATGGCAATTAGATCAGATGCGTCATAGAACAATCAACAGCGTCTCATTTCTTAGTTTTACGTTTTATTTATCAGTGGATAAAGCAACTGAATGCACCTCTGGAAGAAATCGATCCCGAAATCGCAGATATTATCGAACTCGAGAAGGCTAGGCAATGGAAGGTACTGATCAAATGAATCTGGATTCTTTTAGGAACTTTTGTCTGCTTCATTCTTTAGTAAAACCAGAAAAGGGACTTCAAATCTGGAAACTTTATATTGATATGGAATCTGTATGTCAGGGATTTGAGCTTATACCGTCAGAGAATTTCACATCTGCCTCGGTGATGGAAGCTGTTGGCTCTGTTATGACGAACAAGTATAGTGAAGGATACCCTGGAGCTAGATACTATGGAGGAAATGAGTATGGAAACATTTTGTCTTTGTTTGCTTTTATTAGACTTCTTGCTGTTTGTTGTTAGTATCCGATGCTCAAGATGATTTGCATCTTCTCACTTAGGTACATTGACATGGCCGAGTCTTTGTGTCAAAAACGCGCACTAGAAGCTTTTCAGTTAGATCCTTCGAAATGGGGAGGTACGAAGATGACATCCTAGTATAAACCAATCTATTCTAATGGCGACACTTATGACATGAGCTACTCCTTTTTGTAGTCAATGTGCAGTCTTTATCAGGATCACCAGCGAACTTCCAAGTTTACACCGCACTACTGAAGCCTCATGAAAGAATCATGGCGCTTGATTTACCTCATGGTGGACATCTTTCTCATGGTTATCAGGTACATGGAATGTAATCTCTATAGCTTGTTCTGTTTTCGGCTTCCTTTCTCATATCCTTGTGTAATTGATAATGTATATATTTTTCCCCTTTTTCTTTTAACAGACTGACACGAAGAAAATATCTGCCGTATCCATCTTTTTTGAGACAATGCCATACAGATTGGATGAGAACACTGGTTACATTGATTATGATCAGGTTGGGGTAGTTAATAGCCGATCTTAAGCTTAATCCTTAAACATTTTGTCTTTACCAAATATACCATTGAGATACATGTTGGTGTATAATTATTCTCAGCTAGAAAAAAGTGCCGTGCTTTTCAGACCCAAACTTATTGTAGCGGGTGCAAGTGCCTATGCTCGTCTATATGACTATGCACGTATTCGTAAGGTAAAACATTGTCTCAACTCTTTTAGTGTGAAGCATAATTACCAAAGTTGATATAATGTGGGTTGAACTTTTCAAGATTATGCATGACAAATTTGCAGGTGTGTGATAAGCAAAAGGCGGTTATGCTGGCTGATATGGCTCATATTAGTGGGTTGGTTGCTGCTGGCGTCATCCCTTCTCCTTTTGAGTATGCAGATGTTGTTACGACTACAACTCACAAATCGCTTCGCGGTCCCAGAGGGGCTATGATATTCTTTAGGAAGGGGTTGAAAGAGGTTAACAAACAAGGGAAAGAGGTGAAATTTGAAGTCATATTGTTTGTATGAAATGAATTAGTAAAGAACCTGCAGGTGCTGACTAATATTTTTGTGGTATTTGATTGTAACTCTACATGGCAGGTCATGTATGACTATGAGGACAGAATAAACGCAGCTGTTTTTCCTGGACTGCAAGGTGGTCCACATAATCACACTATCACAGGTCTAGCAGTTGCTCTGAAGCAGGTTCGGTTATGAAACCTTCTTTTTAGTGAAATTATGTTCTGTTGTCTAAGGTCTCTCGTTCATGTTTTTTTGTTGGCTTGTCGATTTGCTCTGTTACAGGTGAAAACACCCGAGTATAAGGCCTACCAGGATCAAGTTCTTCGTAATTGTTCAAAGTTTGCTGAGGTGAGATGTGTTTGCAGATTGTGGTATTCTTAGTTGAGTAATTAGTTAATATCCTGCCATGTTTGGAACACCTGAGTATAAGCCTATTGTAATCATCTCACTTGTTGTTTGTAAATTGCAGTCTTTGCTAGCGAAAGGATATGACTTGGTGTCAGGAGGCACTGATAATCACTTAGTTTTGGTGAATCTGAAAAATAAGGTACTTGTCATTCTATCTTTTTTATTGCACGAACCCTATGATGTTTATGTTTGCCGAGTTTGCATAAGCAAGTGCTGAGTCTCATCGGTTTTAGAGATGATAGCTTAAGTCATGAAAGTTTATTTTAGTATGATAAACTAAAAGAGTGATGGTTTCTTGCTTCTCATATCCATTGTGTCATTTCATTTTTTTTGTACTAACGATATGCTAACCATATGTAGCAAATCAAGTTTAAAATGTTTTTGTTTTTGTACTGTGAATTTTACTAAGCAGTGCGTATGATTCAATAATGTATAATATTGGAAAATGGGGTTTTGCAGGGAATAGATGGATCAAGAGTGGAAAAAGTATTAGAGTCGGTACATATTGCAGCAAACAAGAATACTGTTCCTGGTGATGTTTCCGCAATGGTTCCAGGTGGCATCCGTATGGGTAAGGCTCTAAAAGGAACACTGAAAGAAGTAACGTGTTGGAGAAAGACATTTACTATTTTTGAACAAAAATGAGGTCAATTCTATTGTAGCTGTAATGATCATAGAGACCTGATGTTCACAGGAAAACAAAATAATCCGATATGTTTCATGTGATTATGGGCGTGGTTACAGGAACACCAGCTCTCACATCAAGAGGATTTATTGAGGAAGATTTTGCAAAAGTGGCCGAGTATTTTGATTTAGCCGTCAAGTTGGCCTTGAAGATCAAGGCAGAGTCTCAAGGTATCTTAAAAAGCCAAATTTGGTTTATGCTTCTTCTTTTTTGGTGTCATGTTTTCTGAAAAAATGGGGTCGTATTATAAATGTATTGCAGGGACAAAGTTGAAGGACTTTGTAGCAACAATGCAATCAAATGAGAAATTACAGGCAGAGATGGGAAAGCTGCGGGAGATGGTTGAAGAATACGCTAAGCAATTCCCAACGATTGGGTTCGAGAAAGAGACGATGAGATACAAAGAGTAAAAATAGTTTCCATCAATATTCAAAAGCGTCACGACACGACAAGTTTTCACATTCTCTGATGCTTCAGGTAGCAAATGTGCCAAAGAGATACAGTGAAGCTCTTGATTAGGCTGGCTATGAAAGTATTTCTTCCTTTGCTACCGATTTAAAACGTTCAGTTTTAAAATTTGACATTTGTTATTATATATGTTGTGGTTACATTCCGTGTACTTATTCGAAAGTTAAATTGCAATTCGAAATAATGTCGATAATAATTGTGTTTGCAACTTTGTTTCAGCTCGTTAGACTTACTCAGTGACTAAAAATGTTGGTACTAAAATTTTCTGAAAAAATGTTGAGCGACTATGAAAAGAAGACACCCTATAACATGGAAAGAAAACAGAGCATTGCAATGCGCGATTAAAGCAGAGCATCTAAGAAATCTTTGCATTACAGCAACATATTTTACTATCAGTCTTCGTCGGAGAAGGTAATCTTCTTACCGCAGAAGGCCATTGGTTTCTCCAGATTCGGTTTGTTATCCAACCCAAAGCCTTCTCGTCGAAGGTAGTCTTCGTACCTGGAATGTATACCAGAAACTTCACCCAAAATGTGATCTTGATAACAAAACTCTAAAGGCAAATTAGTTGAATCCCTTACCAAAGCTGCTTTGCAAGCTTGTACAAGTTGTACCTAATTAACAAGAGCTAATAGCGTTAATCTTCTTCTGTTAGCAATAAGTTAGAGAGAAACAAATCTTTATATGGAAAATCAATTTACTTGGGTCTGAAAGGGTATGGAGCTATCTCAGCCATGTTAACATACATGGAAGAGCCATTCTTCTCTTGCACCGCCTACAGTGTATAATATTTAATCAGCGATCCTACTTTCAGATAACTACTTGTACTTAGATTAGTATCACTATTTTTCAAATGACTACTCTTACCTTCTTTGCTTCGTCAGCAGAAGCAAACTCAACAAAGCCACAGCCTACATGCTCACCCCTGTGGTCTACAACAAGTCGAACACCAACAACTTGTCCAACATTTTTGAAGATGAAGATTCTGTAAAAACAGAGGATAAAATATTATCAGTCATGAAAAACTTGCTCCAAGAACAAAAGAGGAAATTAAAGTTGCTACTTACAATTTTGATATGCCAAAAAGAGCGTCGTTTTGCATAGAGATATTGGCAACAAAAACCGTCTTTTCTCTTACGGCAACTTCCTGAATTTAACAGCCAAGTGTGTTGAATTGCATACCAATAAAAAAGTAGTCTCATCCCTAGAATAAGCCATCTTTCGACTTTATCGCAACGGTTGTGTTATTAAACGCTAAACGTTTCTTCAGATAATAAGAACATGCACCTCAGCAAAATCGGGAGGTTCATCAAGTCCTTCCACTGCCGCATCTTCTTCCATCAGAAAGCTTTCTCGTCGAGGGTTGTCTTCGTACCTGGAATATCAAACACTCTTGTCATCTCTCCATGTATAACTTCACCCAATGTGCTCTTAATAACAAAACTCTCAAGGCAAATAGTCGAATCCCTTACCAAACTTTGTGATCTATGCAATGCCTAATTGACAAAAATAATATCGTTAGTCTTCTGTAATGGCATCAAAAACTCTAGCAATAAGCTACAGAAACAAATCTCCATAACATGGATAATCAATGTACTTGGGTCGTAGAGGGTATGAAGCTGTCTTTAAAACATCAAGAAGAATCTGGCAATCGTGCAAATAATCACCATTCTTCTTTTCCAGTGCCTACAATATAAAAGATTGATACAGCAATCGTAGTTTCAAATATACACTACTTTTCAAATGACTCCTTAAATACTTTTCATCATTACTGTAAACTACTCTAACCTTCTTTACATCGTTAGCAGAAGCAAACTCAACAAAGCCAAAACCCACATGCTTGACCTTGGGATCTACAATAAGTCGAACATGAACAACTTTTCCAACATCTTTGAAGAAATCGATGCTGTAAATATAGAGGATAAAAATTTTAGTTATCAAAAACTTGCTCCAAGAACGAAAGAGGAGATTATAGGTGCTACTTACAAATCTGGTATTTTAGTTTCGTCAGAGAGATTCTCAACATAGAGCGTCTTTTCTCTTACGGCAACTGTCTGAATTTGACAGCCAAATGTGTTAGCACGAATCTAAGTAGCCTCATCTAAAGATTCATCCCTAGAATAAGTCATCTTTCGACTTTGTGGCAAACAGTTTTGATATTAAACGCTAAGAGTTTCTTCAGAGTCTGGCATATTTTGAAGATAATAAGAACAGGTACCTCAACAGAGTTTGGAGTTTTATTTTGTCCTTTCATCAACAAAATCTCATGATCGTGCAAATATTCACCATTCCTATATTCCAGCGCCTACAGTATGAAAGATTTAATCAGCTGTTATACTTTCAAATAACTTTAATAGTATACACTACTGTTCAAATTACTTTAATAGTTTTTCATCATTACTACGTACAAAACAACTCACCCACTTTGCTTCGTTAGCAGAAGCAAACTCAACAAAGCCATAGCCCACATGCTTACCCTCCTGGTTTACAATAAGTCGAACACTAACAACTTGTGCAACATCTTTGAAGAATTTGGTGCTGCAAAAGTGGAGGATAAAATATCAGTCATGAAAAAAACTGCTCCAAGAATGAAAATGAAAAATTAAGGTGCAACTTACATATGTGATATTTTAGTTGTTTGGGGAGAGAGATTGGCAACAAAGAGTACTGTCTGAATTCAACAGCCAAGTGTGTTAGCACGACTCTAAGTAGCCTCATCTATATATTCATCCCTAGAATAAGTCATCTTTCGACTTTGTGGCAACATTTATATTATTAAACGCTAAGCGTTTCTTCAGAGCCTGACATATTTTGAAGATGATAAGAAGATGTACCTCAGCAAAATCGGGAGGTGACTCATCTTCTTCTATCGGAAGGCTTTCTCGTTGAGGATAGTCACTGAGCCTGAAGTATATCAAACTTCACACAATGTGCTACTGATAACAAACTCAAGATGAAAATACCCTTACCAAACCGTGTGATCAAGGCAATACCTAATTAACAAAACAATAATAGCGTTAGTCTTCTGTAATGGCATCAAAACTCTAGCAATAAGTTACACCAAGTGTTACATAAACAAATCTCCAAAATATGAATCAATTTACTTGGGTGGAAGGCATCGACCTCCCTTGTTAACCACATCAAGAAAAATCCGGCGATCGAGCAAATACTCACTCTTCTTCTTTTCCAATGCCTACAGTATAAAATATTGAATCAGCAATCGTTCTTATAAATAACTACTTGTATAATTTTTTCATCATAAAGTATACGCTACTATTCAAATGACTAGTAAAATACATTTCATCATTACTATAAACTACTTTCACCTTCTTTGCTTCATCCGCAGAAACAAACTCAACAAAACCATTGGGCACGTAAGTGTCCTTGCGGGTTAACAGAAGTCGAACACGAACAACTTGTCCAACATCTTTGAAGAAATCGATACTGTCAAAAATGGAGGATAAAACATCTTAAGTCATGAAAAAACATTGCTCCGAGAACGAAAGTGGAAATCTAAAGTGCTACTTACATATCTGATATTTCAGTTTCGTCAGAGAGACGGCCAACATAGATCGTCTTCTTTGGTACGGCAGGTTCCTGAATTGAACAGACAAGACAAGTTTGTTAGCACGACATTAAGGAGAAAATGAGTTTCTTGTGAGCCTGACACAATATTTTGAGGATAATAAAATCGGGAGCTTCATCTCCTTCCACTGTACCTTAACAAAATCGGAAGATTCATCAAGTCCTTCCACCACTGTCTCCTGTTACATGAGTAGCAGCCATTGGAGCACATTTTGGAGATAATAAGAACAAATATGCTTATAAACTTGTACCATATCTATCTAACAAACAGTCTAATATTCATAATTTTCAAAATTTATACCTCAACTGAGAATAAATTAGCTTCATCAGACTTTGTCTCCGACAACTCGACCCTTCCTTGGATCAGATCATCTTCCAGCTTTCGCTTACCCAATAAATTAGCTGTGGTGGCCATGGAGAAGATGAAAACAGCAGCGAAGGTTTATTTCCCGGGAAGAGTTGGGAGCAGCAATATGTTTATAAGTAACCCTCTCTCGGAGGAAGAAGGTATTTGTAAAATAATAATCTGGTTTGGGCTGGGCTTTTTCTTTTCTTCAGCTAATTGTATAACAATTTATTTAAGCTCTTTTTTTTTTGTCTTCGGCTACAATTAATGGCGATCTTCGAATGGCGGCAGAGAAGACGGCCACTCGACGGCGGAGCAACTCGGCGACGTCTTCTCTTCAGGCCACAGTATTCGAGAAAACTCAAGAGAGTGATCCTTTTCGCCGTGGTCTTCTTAGCCGTATTTCCTCCTCTCTTCTTTCATCTCAAGCTACGACGAATTCGCCAGATTGTCGCGAGGAAGTGCGATTGGCTTCACCATCCTCCACTCGTCTGTGCACACGGCGGCGATTCCACCCTCGCATTTCCAAACACTGTATATAACTCCCGATCCCTTTCCCTCTTTCTTCACACTCTTATAGTTATGGCTCTTCTAAATCTCACTCTCTCTCTCTCTCTCTCTCTCTCTACTCGCAGATGGATGCTTATAGTTACGCTATTCGTTCTCGAGTTGATTGCATCGAAGTCGATGTGTCTCGTTCCTCCGATGGTGTTTTGTTCGCTCTCCACAACAGGTTACAGACTCTTTTCCTTACTCTTCCTTCGTTTCGTTTTTTTTTTTTTTGCTGTGTTTGGATTCTCATCGGAGATCTTCTTTTATCGTCTGATCAAACGCACAGTCAGGGATCTGCAGCGTATTGCTCGTAACTCATCCGTACAAGTTGGAGATCTGAGTATGAAACAGGTCTCATCATCTCTATTTACCATCTTTTGGGATATGCTTTTGCTTCCATTATTCTGAGACCCTTTTTGCAGATCAAAGAACTCGATGTCTCACAAATTGTTAAAGGGACCTTGGGCAATCGTAGGATTCCTACACTTGAAGATGCTTTAGCGGTAATGCCCTTAACGTCACACTCTTGTTATATAACTTATCTTCTCTCGTGCTTTGCTTTGTAATTGCTGCTCAGTATCAAGTGCCTTGACGTGACCTTCATCTTCAATCATGTGTCTAGTTGATATCAAATTCAGTGCGGCAAGTGATTCTTGATGCTAAAGTCGGACCGCCATTGTATGAAAAGGGGCTCGCACAAGACATTCTCGCTGTTGTAAGTGCATGAAATTTAGTTTGCTCCTTTTCAAGGTGTGCACCCTAAAGAGGTTTTGATTCCTTATGAGCTGTATTAACCATCTCGCTCCTTGTGTCTTTGTACACACACACAGTCTAAAACTGCTTATATAAATAACTTGGAAAACAGAGTATTGAATGTTGTTGCTGCTTTGCCTTTACTGTCTATTGATTGTGGCTTTGCCTTCCTGAATCATCACTTCTCTGTTGTTAGATTGAGAGAGCGCAGTGCAAGAATTGCATCGTATGGGCCAAAAGCGACAGTTTGGCTAGGGACATAATCAAACGAGCACCAGATATTACGGTACGTAGAAATGGTTTTTTTTTCTTTCATGTGAGGATCGGATATGAGAAGCTGTGGTCCAGTTTCTTGCTCATTCCTTGTGACTGCACTTTGGCAGGTGGGTTACATTGTGATGGTGGATCCTTCGACTGGGGTAAGAAACAACCTGCTGAGAATGAAGGGAGCTAGGGTTGTGGGAGTCTATCATCCCTTGATCGATGAAAATTTGCTTAGAGTTGTGCGTCGGTAAGCACTAGATTCCAATGTTTATAAGTGAAAACACATCATTTTCCATGTGTTTATTACAACCTTGCTCGATCCGATGAACAGGAGAAACAAAGAGGTTTATGCATGGACTGTGGATGATGCTGATTCAATGAAAAGGATGCTTCACTTTGGTGTGGATGCAGTTGTTACGAGCAACCCAGCTATGTTTCAGGGCCACATGGAAGATCTTAGAACTGAGTGTCTTGAACAAGGTTTTTCAATACGGACATGAAAATTTTTCTCAACTGATATTGGAATCACCTTTGATTACATTTATGCTGTTTCGTTCTACCACGAGTTTCTGATTACACAGCACTGAGCCCCTTGATTCATTGTAAAAAACATGTAAACAGTAAAAGAAGAAAAAAAAATTCCTGTCTATAAAATAAGTCGACAAGATTTCACAATTTTAGAAAGAAAAAAAAAACCAAAGAATCAGCTTCCTTGATCAGAACTTGTACTACAATTATGGGCATGTCCAGGTAGCAAAACTCTGAAGACTGCATAATGGTGGTTTAAACTCTTTTCCCCTTGAAGTCTATGAACACTCCCGAGACCGCCTGCCGTTGGGTTTGGGAAAGCATAGAATATTCGTTTTACTCTTTGATGCACAAGCGCCATAGCACACCTTATATACATACAAAGGAACATAATCAACACTTTATCATCAGATTCCCAAACTTGCTCATGTTACAAGGGTATAATGTACATGTAGATGTAACTCACATTGTACAAGGCTCCCATAGGAGGAAAATGTCATAACCAGTGCAGAGGTAAGGCCTTTCCATTGAAGCCTCTCTAAGAGCTTCTTCTCTGCTGTCATGTTGGACCTGTATGATGACTCTCAAGAGTGTAAGAGAGACTGGTTTACTAGTCAAAGCATTTGGAGAACCATTTTCAAAATATTGGTTGGAATGAACTCACATATGGACTGTGGCTGCTTGTTTTCTGCTTTTTAGCTGGAGAATCGGCATTTGAGGGTTGAGAATGATCCGGACCTAAACTCTGGGATGAATTGGGAAACAGATGTCTATCTCTTGCAGAAGAAGATTCAATGGCAACTATGGAAGCGTGCCTTAGAGGGTGCCATTGGCTACACTCTTCACTGTCATGTGGCTGCAAACTCCATTGCCAGGGATTCAGACAAGCAACAGTAGACAATGAACCATTCAGTTTTTCAAGTACGCCGTTTAAGCACATCTCCGAGCTAGCGTTAGTCACTCTGTCAATACTCTGACAGTGGTTAGCTTCCACTCTTTCCTTGAAGGTCATGTCGCGAGGAGCAGACGATGGATATACTTGATCAGTTTCACAAGCTATTATCCTCCTAACTGAAGGATCAACTATCACTGCAGCGTTTACAAGCTGAAAAGTTCATCAAAAGTTTAGCAACTTAGTTCGACCAAGAGCCAAGTCTGTTGTCTTCAAAACCTCATACCAACGTTATGTAGATAAAAGGGAAGGAGCGAAATACTTACTGGACTGTGACCAGATACTGCCAGATCAATAGCAAGTCTCATGAACTTGCAGATTGATTGTGTCTCCTCCTCACTGAATCCACCAATGCCATCTATATTGCTGTCATTGCCAAATGCAAAAGAGAAACAGTCAGTGAGCGCAGCATTATCAACGAATACATGTTATTGCTATCACAATGCAGAGAAGAAGGCACTAATAGAAATCATCAAGAAGAAGGATTGTTCTAGAGGAACAAAAGATCAATGAGCAAAAACCTTTTGGACACAAAGCTGATTCAAGAAATGAGAATCTAACAAAAGACAAGGAGCTTACTAGGTAGGGGGGTGAAATGAAGTTGGCCATATCTTACATTGTTCTTCCCACTCTTCTTTCGACACCGCAGCATATTTGCATACCTATCAACGTAGTTACAACAGAAATATGAGAGTCTAGTACTGGAAATAGATAAATCAATGAGCAAAAACCTTCTACTCGGATTCTAAATGTACAGAAGCGTTGCATAAAATTGTTTGTAAATGAAAGAAGAATCGACCCACTTGTGTAATAAAAGGACTCAACTCGTAGGGCTCAACGAGTTTCTGTACATCAGGTGGCATATCATTCAAATGATCGTTGTGCTCAGGTGCTAGACATAAGATGACAGTCAACTGAGGTTCACCTGTCCAATGAGCTTTTGTAGTCAAGATTCAAGACCTCATAATCTGATATTTGGTATTTCACTACGCCAACAAAGCTAAGAAGAATGTGAGATACCATGATCTGGAAGAATCTTCTTTCGCACCCTTTTAACATGACGAAGATCTTCAAGAGGAAAAGTCTTGCATAAATGCCTACAATAGCAAAGTCAAGATTCTCTCAATTTAGTGCAGAATTGGAAGAAAGCGAGCATGAGATGTACAGTTCTGCAGAGCAGCTGAAAATTTCAATCAATGAATCACAGTGGAAACAACATGACAAACCTCACTATCGTATTGGCGAATTTGGGCTTGATTACACTCGCATAGACCTTCACTGTGAGAAAAGAACACACAAGCATGAAGTTTGTAACAAAGAAACTAAATTCAAAGCAAGAGGTCCTCGAGACTGAAGCATACCAGTTGGCTGATGGTTAGGTGGCAATGCAGGCTTTTCAGGTATGTGGATGATTCTCCATGCATCTGAATCCATAAGTCTTATTCCTTAATTCAGCCTGATCTGCAGATAGTTCATAGCGCACAATTGATAAGAATTAGGGAGAATAAAAAAAAGAGACGAACTTTCTCTGTGGGAAAATAGTGACATTGTATTAGAGAAATTGCAAATGCCAAAAAGGTCCCAACTTTATTACATATAACCAAATACTTGCACTTTCCAGATTCAATAGGAACAGTGGTAACTAAAAACCCAGGCCAGGCGTTTCTAACTTCTAAGCATCCTATGAGTACCATCAACGAACTCACTAGCTAATCAATTCAATCAAATTTCCAAACAGAAGAAGGCAATTCCAAAAACATGATAAAAATCGTAAACTACCAACAGAAGAATGAAATTAATTAACCATTAGAGAGAGACTCACGCTGAAGAATGGAGGAATGGGTTTCACCAAGCCGGAGACGCAGAAGCTGATAGCGACGACAGAGAGAGTTTCACCAAAAAGGTGGAAGACGAGAACCCTCGCAACGACGACGTTTTGCTCTCTGAGGTTAGTAATTAAAAATTTAATTTTAGTGTGGAAACTGGAAAAGTCTTAAGGAAAAGGGGCGGGACAACTATACCCTAAATAAACCCAGAGTCCCCAAAACGAACGCGCCTTTTCAAGCATTTTCTCCGGCGAAAGAAATGGCGAGTCTAGGGTTACGGTTGAAGTCGGCGACATGGACGTTGAGGAGCGGAGCAGCTGCTGTATCGAGGCGTTGCTCGTGGGAATTGGGGAAGGGATTTCGTGGATTCTGCGCTGAAGCAGAAAACGATGTTGTTCCAACTTCAGGAATCAGCAGACCTCTAGCTGAGATTCTCAAGGAGCTTAACAAAAAGGTTCCAGATTCCGTCATCAAAACCCGAGTCGAAGATGGATTCGCCATGAAATACATCCCATGGTATCTCTCTCTCCGTAGAGCTTTAGGTTCTTATTGATGGAATTTTAAGGGACTGTGATGATAGACTTATACTTTCTTTAAAACTGTTTTGATTCTCAGGCACATTGTTAATCGGATCATGAATCTGCATGCTCCAGGTCTGCTAAATCCTCAGATCTCATTGATTTCTTCCTCTGGGTTTTTCATTTGACATTTTTGTGTATGATTCTCTCTGTTTCAGAATGGTCAGGAGAAGTTCGAAGTGTCACTTACTCTCCTGATGGCAACACCGTCACTGTTGCTTACCGTGTGACTCTCTACGGCACTGATGCTGAGGTATTTCCCTCTTCTTTACCAATATGCTCTGATTTGATTACCAATGGTGGAGTTCTCTGCCTTCTTGTCCGCGAAGCTGCAAAAGCTAGGGATCTAGTTACTGCCCCTTTTGCTTGTGTACATTTGACTTCTCCAATGTATGAGATGAGACCCGTTAAGCCATTACAGCTCAGAGAGTGTACGCTGAGAAACACACACACAACTGTTGTCGATCATAATAAACCTTAGACTATGAGAACATTATGTGTTCACTGTTTTGCATGTTAGCTGGAAATCAATTACTAATTCAATCATTGTTTGTGTTGTGAAGATATTCAGGGAATCAACAGGAACCACTTCGGTGAATGAGAAAGGGTATGGTGATGCTGTGCAAAAGGCTGAAGCAATGGCATTTCGCCGTGCCTGTGCAAGACTTGGATTAGGTCTTCATCTTTATCACGAGGATGCTTTGTGAAGGGTGGGAGAGTATGTTTTGTATTCCGACTGCATAGTAGTAAGTCGTTGAAGTAAGAACTCAAAGAAACCAAGTTTTTGGTATCTAGATGGCCTTTGAATTTGAAATCGGTTAATGCAACGATCTTAAGTAAGAACTCTTGTGCATATCGTCAACTTCATCCAAGGTTGCAACTTCAACCAGTAAAATTCACAGTTTGCAGCAATAGCTACTCTCATATTCTTAAATTTTACCATATCCTTGGCTAGATCCCAAATCTTTTACAATAGTGAATTGCGGATGGAGGAGATCCCCATGAAAGTATCCATTACACTCAGACCGGGAAAAAAACGAGACTAGAAGGGGATAACGGTTGCAAAAGACGTTTAAGATTCACTTTGAAAGATTTGATTATCTTACATACTCTCTCTCTCTTCATGAGCAGCAACATATGTCATCTTTAGATTTTTAGAAAGTCTTGGAGTATTTTCTGATCTCGAACATGATCGACTGAATGGAGACAAGATCCTTGTTCAGACCTGATCCACCAGGGATCTTCTTGATGCAGTCCGTGAGTCTTGTGTAATAGAGCAGCAGCTGTGTCAATGCAGCTCTCAAGATCTCCATACCGCACAGGAAGTTACTGAAGGAAGTTATGATATCTTTGTGCATCAATTCTATCGCTGTCTTCCATCGGCTTCCAAAGTCCTTCACCAGTGGCTCTACTTCGGCAACTGTGATGGATCTCTCTGGATTTAAGCTTGAATCCTCAGCTGTACATGTTTCACAGTTAAGTGTTTTATTTGACTTAACCAATTGATGAGAGCGAGGGACAAGAAAGAAAGAAATTCGCTTACAAGCTCGAGATTTCACAAATTTGATCAAGTCACTGAAATGCTCCACCAGCAATTCTTCCTGCCAGATCAAACAAATTGAGCAAACTGAACACACGGGACTTGCCATCAAACTTATAGTGTACGTTACTACAACGCGAAGTAAGAACCAGCTTAAAGAGGGAACTTGACTTAAAAAGTCTAATTTAAACAGCAATATTGGCCCTTACCACAAATAACGAAGTGTTGCTCTTTAGCAATTCCTCAAAATGCATTTGAATTTTCCCACCTTCTGGTCCAGCTTCCTGAAATTAAGATAAAGGAAGATGATCAATATAGTGTCCTTTGGTAGGTGAGGATCATTAAGAAAGGCCCAAGCAAAGATTCACTTCACCTTCAGCACAGCAATTGTCATATCATAGTTGTTTATGAGAAACACAATCTGCTGCTTTGGCCTTGGGAACAACTTTGAAAGCTTGAGAATCAAGGCATCTACAGCCATTCTTAAACGCTCCAAATTTATATCAAGCTGCAAAATACCATAGGCAATGTCAAGCGCCTTGAGTAACAAGCTCCAGGTAACACATATCAGTAGACAGAGGGAATAATCATAACAAACCTGCCCATCTCCATACTCAACATTCAGGTGAATAAATGAAGCCGTGAATTCAGCATAACGCCTCATGACATAGTGAGGATGAACATCATCTTCCCATAATGTCTTTACGTTTGCATCTCGCAGACTGCTGAGGTGTGAATCAAACACCATCTTGAAACGAGGCCATAGAGATATATTAACCTGCGCAGTTTGCAAAACGCAAAAGAATCTTTGAGAGAGGAATATGCAACCTAAGGAAATCCATCATACCCGCATCTATTAGCTTATATCTGACTCCAAGTTAAAACAACAAACATAGAGTGACCAAGTGAGAACAGCTGCAGAGAAGCACAATAATACTGAACATTAAATCTGCTTCAATTGCAAACGACATATATATTTAAGAGTAGATCAAACCGAATAAAAGAGAGAAGGAATTATGAACCTTATCCAAATATGAATCCAGGCATGGAATTCTCCGGCGAGACATGATAAGCTGAGAAATAAAGGTAGCAAACAGAGAATTACTTAAAACACTAAGTGTGGACATAAACAATCATGCCGCTTGCAAAGGGCTGAAAATGATGAATATATAGACTAGTCATGGAATGCCTAGACCAGTTGAAGGAATGATATCCACAAAAACCTTTCATGAATCATAAGTTCCCAAGACATTGAGGCTCCTCCTTGCAATGCTGAGTTAATCAATATCTAACCATACTTCAATGGACCACTAACTTCCGATGCATTTTCACATACAAATACAACAAAAAAGATGCAAAGGAAGCTAACTACTAAATGGATTCACCAAAATACACATGGAGTAGTAACTGGGTCATAGTTAGTACCTGGTGGTGGTGTATAATGCGAATCATAAGCATCAGGCCGATAGCATCAAAACAGTTTGAAAGAACGGGATTGAAGTGCTCATCGATGACAGAAAATGGACCTATTTCATAGAGCATTAAGAATTTACCAAAAAACACAGTGCTATCATCATCATATTATATGTAAAGAGAAAACGGTTCAACTTTCTGCATGGAAGTAGACAAGATGTTTCGTACATGCTGATCAATACCATATCAAATTTGTAACTAATATCCTAACTATGTTGGGCGAAGTTCTGCAAAATGTACTTATGTATGTTAAACCAGCTAACAAACTCCAGAAATTGGTATAGCATTACCAGGAAGAAAAAAAGGGAGACATAAGAAATTACCCGCAAAAATTTCATAAAATATGGACTCTTCCCCAAAGAAATCATCGCAAAATATATACCTGTTAAATGAAAACATATGACATTAACCAGGAGGTTGAGCAATGAGCAACGATTCGACAAAATGAAAAAGGGAAATATCAACAGAACTCAGAAGTAGCTGTATCCATAAGGAGCTTGTGCAAGCTCCTGAAGAGCACTTCATAGGGATATTTGAGAGAGCTGGCTTCAGCTATGTGCGGGATCAATGCAGGTTGATCAATATCCTACAGTGGAATACATACTGAAACTTAAGTCTTTTAATAAATCGTAAGTAAAGTACGCACTCCTAATTAAAACAAATGGTGTACATTAAGTTAATACAATATCGAAGTTTTCATACAGACCCACACCTAGTACCAACTTTTGAAAGAAGAATTAGAAAAGTAACTCATTTTCTATAACGAATTCGCCACATATACAATGGTCGGAAAAAAAAAATTTAATCAACAATGTAAATCACCGAATGATGAATACCTTTATAATTTTTATCCTCTCACCCAAAGCAAATACGGCAGAACGGTTTTTTAGTGGCTCCCTAGCTCTTGAGAAGAGTCCCGTGGTTCTAGTCTCCACTCCAATCAAGTCATATGCTGTGGCTATATCTAACTGTAGTTTCTCAAGTGCTTGAATATAAGCACGGAAATGTGCACTTAACACCTGAAAACATATCTCACAATAAATAATGTGTAACAACAGCTGAAAGCTTAAGCTAACATACAGCTTTTTTTTTTATCTAACCTGCATACAGCTCAATGACTCTAGTGAGAATACAAAATAGAAGAACTACTTGCACGTAACGTACAATAGGATGTCGTATTCACTACCTTATATTTGCAGATATTAACCTAAGACAAATCTATCTGATTATCCCTTCCTCATCCAATTGAGACTATAGAGAGGAGTTGCAGCATTGTGCAATAAATCAAGCAAGATAAAAATATCACCTTGTTCATGGTATCAATGTATGCAGCACGAACATCCATAAACACTTCTTTTCCATGTTCTTTGAGGAATGAGATAATATACCTATCATTAAAATTGTAATTGGTGAATGAAGATCCACATAAATTTACTGTAGAAGAAAAAAGAATCATACACAAGGCAACGTAAAAAGCAAAATGCCAAACCAAATAGTTTGTAAGTAAAATACACATCTATGCAGAAAAAACTCAACAGGAAATGTTGTCCAATAGTAGTTCGACTACGTGCAACCAAGTAAAGAGGCCTAGAGATCAGCATAACTCACTTGTACTTTAATAACACACTCTGTTGAAGAATCTGGATGTTTGTTTTGGGTTTCCTCAGGGCTATAAGCTTCTGCACAATAAAATCATACACCTGCAAAACGGAAATAAGCCTCTTGCATGAAAACAGATTAGAATGCTGCGTCCACGTGCAAGTACAAACGACTTGGACTTACTACTGATATACAATATTAAAACTTTATCAAGCTGCCATTAACTCTTTTAGAGGGAAAGAACAATAATTTAGATAGCTAATCTCGCCTCAATGGATTAGAGTAAATTAGATTATGTAAGGAACTTAATTTTTAGTGTACTTATCTATCCAACAATTTATAACCTCAAGAAACACGCAGGTAGTCTGTTTTGAGTCAATAAATACATTACTATTGGACCTATCACACTCACTTCAGCAACATCAAAGAAGAAGTCAAAAGATAAGATAGAAATATATAATTGTTTGGTATCAGGTCACACAGAAAGTAGATCAAAAACCTTGGAAATAGCTTTCTGTCGGAGCTTGTCGAGCTCAGGCTCTACATCTTTTAATGCTTTGGAACTTTTAACCGCAGGATCTGCTTCTACAAATTTCAGCTTCTTACTCAGAATTTCAAGCGTTCTCATATACTCTTCATTCACCTGAATAAGGAAAATATCACGACTATCAGATTAAAAACAAAACATTTCTCAGCAATCCATCCTAGGCCTAAATGCACCCTCACAGCTTTACAAAAACACATACTCGAGGGACACAAGGAGTATATGGTGTAATTAAACCAAATGAATACAGTTTCAAATCCCACACTACATAAAAAAGCGGGAATCTGCAAAATACCTCTCCATCAACAATTACGTCTATCATCTTTGGTGGCACTATAATATCTTCGACAAATCTAGCTAGCTTTGATTCAGCCACCTGTCCAAATAAAAGAGCTCATTTGAATGAGTAACCCACATAAACAATACCACACGTGTGGAAAGCAGCAAGAGATGATACTAGTATAGTGGCTATACCCTGCGATTTTTCAATCTCAAACCCATGTCCATTGATTTTTCTTGAAGAATCTTTATGTCTGAACTTATAGAACCAATTTCTTCCTGAAAGAAAAGAAGAAGCAAAGCGCGCATTTAGATCACAAGGAAAATATAGAATAGGTAAACAGATTCTTGTCATAAGGCAAAATTCAGAATAAGGAGTCCATACACACAAATTATATAATTGTTAGTTACCTGAAATCCACTGAGGAGAGTTTCCATTTGTGACAAGATGCCGTCACAGTCACGAATCTGATCGTGAAGTGAGACTAGGTTATCACTTTCTTTTATGTAATCCTGAGTATTCATGGAGTGTAAAGCATTTCAAGTAAGCTACGTACAAGAACGAAGAAATTCTCAAACATGTAGATGAAAAATATATATATATATATATATATATATATATATTACGGGATAGAGTGGAAAATAACAAGTGAAGTGCCATAATGTATCACAGGTTAAGAATAGCAACCTGAATCGAATCCAACTCGACCTTCCTTAGATTGTTTTCTACACCTTTAGCATATTCTCTAAGTTTTGCACCACTGGATAGTATATTGGCAACAACCTGAGCTGACACACAAACGAGATGCAGAGGACATTATATCATTGGATCTAACATTCTATGTTTAATCCATGTATAAAGTAAGTCACAAGAGACTAGAAATGATATTTAAGTTTTTAATCGCAGATCCGTTAATAGCATACCTCATCACTTTCACATTCTTCTAATTCTTGCTGAAGCCCTTCCAAAGATATATCCTCACTGTCCACAAAAACGAAAATTGAAAGGACAAATGTCGATTTTGATCATTCTATAAAGAGAAGCAAAGCCATACTTGTTACTCAAATTAAGGTAAACCGAAAAAACTTGAGAAATGTTACCTGCCTGAATCCTCTTCAAAAGCCAAGTCTCCGACATATGCTCCTAAATCAAATCCATGTTTCTCAGGATTACTGAAGTCTCCCATGGCTTGTCCCTAATAGGCACAAACTTCGATAAGAGACCGAGCCCGCATAAGAAGTGAAACTATCAAGCAGGATCCAGGATCACGAATCTATAAGGCTAGAAGATCCTAAAAGACTTAGAACTCGGAAATATCAAGTTTCGAGAGAAAAAAAAAAGCGAAATCGAAGTGCAAGCTTACGAATGCGTCAACAGAGATGTCGGACATCTTGCTGATGAGACAAGAATGCTCGATCCTTCAATCTATCTGAACAATTTGCAGTGCAGTTCGTTGGAAACTATATGATTCCGAAGATCTTCAACTCCGAAGAAAACGAAATCAGAATGCCGGAACGATCTACCTTCTGAGTCTGATGAATTCAATCAGTCTGAGTCCGCCATACATACAAATTTGGTGTGTCTTCTTCTTCAGCTGCAACTTTTCCAGATTCGTTTTCTCTAATCTGATGAAATTATTATTATTTTCCATCCAACGAACTGGGCCCCCGTAAAATCACAAAACATTGCCTATTGGGCCCTTAAAAGAGACTGTATATGGGTGTGATTTATATTAGGAGGTGTTATTGGTTCTTGTATTTTAATGGATTTGAGAATCCAAATCAAATTCAGTGTTATTGGTTTTTGTATTTTAAAATTTATATTGAAATACAGTGTTATTGGTTCTATGATTTTAAAATCTATAATGAAATACAGTGTTATTGGTTCTATCATTTTAGAATCTAAATATTATAAGGATTTGAGTTTTAATTGAATTTGAATGGATTTGGAAAGATTTTTATGACTAAAATACAAAGATCCAAATACAAGGTCTAACCTTGGTATTTGAGTGGATTTGATTTTTTTCCATTTTGCTGATTTTGAAATCAATAAATTTATCAAATCCAAAGAAGATTTATAAATCCACCAAAATACAAGAACCAATAACTCCTACTTAGTTTTACTAAATTTTGGACTTATTTATTTATTAAATTAAATTTTTATAATTTTATATTACTATATATATATTTATTAAATTAATATTATTCTGCACTAAATTTTTCTATATATTTTTTTGTTCTAATATATATATATATATTTATATTGTCAAATTCTTGTTCTAATATGGATTGTAATATATTAATTGTTAAAAAAATATTTCATATATTTATATACTGCAATAAGTATTATATGTGTTCTTACTGTTTATTTGTATTCAACTGATTTATCATCTTTTTCTACATCTTATTTTCATGGATCAATAAAATGAAACTATCACCGATCCGTCTCCACTCTAAACTAAATATTCTCTTAATTTTTTATCAATTTTTTTAAAAAAAACTCTAACTCATTTTCATGCACAATTAATCTTTTCTTTTTTTTTATAGCTCTTACTCTCACTATTCTGATTGCAATCTACTTGTTTTTTTCTCTTATTTCATGCAAGCTTCCATCTCATTCAGTTATGTGATCAGTTATAACTCTAAATAAGAAGACTTTTACTTAGAGTTGGCTAGATAGAGCAAGAGATCTATTCAAATATTACATATGTTTGATGGGTTGTTATATCAACAAATTATGTTTACTTACTAAAATTGTTGATTTTAATTGATTTGAGGCGTTTTCTTTTTTCAATGATGAACTGCCTGACTATAATTATGAATGTGTGCGAGAATATTTTTGTCTATTTTCAAATCTTGTGAATGTAAAAAATATTAATATGTTAAAAAGTATAATCAATAATCTTATTTTAGTTTATTTATACATTTTATATTAAAACTCATATATTATCATTTTAAAACTGATTGCAAACTTGTTGTTGTGACTAGGTTGGTGGTTGGGTCACTGAGTATGGTAAGCTATTAACGTTCGCAACAGTAAGAGGAGCGGCTCATATGGTGCCATATGCGCAGCCCTCACGCGCTCTTGATATTTTCACTAGCTTTGTGTGTGGCCAGAGATTGCCCAACAAGCCACACACCTCTCTTCTTGAATGAGAAAGAAGAGACCTATTAGTTAGATTAGGCAAGTATGATTAGTATTACATAGTTATCTTATTAATAGATTGAGTTTTGAGAAACTCATACATACTTTTTTAATATATTGAGTTAGTATGAAGTTCTATTTATATCTGTATTACTTGCTTTTTAATCTACTTTTCTATAGTTTACAGATGCTTCATAGACCAGATTAAAATTGCAGTTTATCAATATGATTGTAATTTTATATATTATATAAATATTTTTATTTATATAAACAATAATTCTTTTACGAATTTCTAAAAATTTTGAACATTGATTATTGTTTAGTATTTAAGACTGCCAATAAAAAAATACACTATAGAAAAACATTTTAAATTTAATAAAGAGAAAAATTATAGTTAATGGGTTTAATTATATATCAAAAATAATTTTAATTATATTTTGAAAGTTGGTGAACAACAATGAATTTATATAAAAATATTAAATTTTAAATTAACAATTAATTTTTAGATATATATATCAAGTTATTGAAATTATGAATTAAATTATAATATATTTTTTTGAATATGTTAAAATATAATCACATCAAAACAATATTAAAAGTCAAATATTGCCTACAATTCACACTAGTAGGAAAACATCCGTAGTAACATAGAAAGAAAAAAGGAATAGAGAATTATGAAGGCGCACTACTTAGTGCACTGTCGATGTGATATTCTATCACAATAAAGAATTATGATGTTTTTAATGGTTCTGAAGCTCCACCGATCATTTGAATTATTAATCCGTACACCCTTATCTTCAGCTAAAAGAGGGAAAAAAAAGAATTCCCAATAGTTTATGTTTATGTTTATGTATAGACACTTCAAAACCAAAAAGACGCTTGCTCAGTTAGGTATTACGGAGAACTAGGAGATTATCTTGAGTCGATGTGCAGCACCCGAAGAAGCCAAGTCTTATCATGGCTAAGGAAGAAAGTGAAAGACGTCTCTCCCGTGCCAAGTGAGTAAACCTCTTCAGTTGCTTCGTGTTTGATTGCTCAAAAGAACCAAAATTTATGAATTTTCATTCCAAGGCTTTAACGATTTCTGATCGTATTCTTGTCTATTTGGATAGAGCTTAAAGATCATCTGCGCGTCTGTGTGAATTTTGTAGAGCTGAAGCGTTACCACGAGCATTTGCGGTGACAGTGGTGGTGGCGGTGGTCACAGTGCAGTGGCTGCCGTATTCGTGCAGTTTTGCAGAAGCATATCCGAGTGAAGATCTTGTGGTCAGCCTTCCTGGTCAACCCAAGGTCGGATTCAGACAGTTCGCCGGATATGTCAACATCGACTCGAAAAATGGTCGAAGTCTTCTACTACTACGTGGAAGCCGACAAACAAGCCGACATTACGTACCTCAACTGGCAGATGCTATACACAGCTACAATATACGATCAAGTGGGTTCAAATTCAACGTTAAAGGCATTGCAATAAGCAAATGAACTTTTCTCTTGACGTTTCATCAACTCTTTTGGCTCTCTTCTAATACATTTGCGTTTCTTTTTTATAATCATTGACCAGATTGGGAATCCACTTCTAAGGCTTGCCACAGACACTTCAGCTGCTTACGACTTCTTCTGGTCGCATGGGATGATCTCTGATGAACTGAGACTCACAATCGGGAGGGAATGTGACTTTGCCAGTCTCTAAAACCGAAGCAAGAAGTGCTTGGAGGCTCTCACTGAAGCTGGCCTCGTAATTGAGTATGTCAACGTATATGACGTTCTCCTCGACCTATGCTACCCATCGATTGTGGAGCAAGAGCTGAGGCTCAAGGAAATGGTTAATCCCCTTTTAACATCTTTTGTTTCACTAATTATTTTTAGTCTGTTAACTTTGGGAAATGGTTTCAGTCTACTAAGATGAGCATGGGTGTGGATGTTTGTATGACATTCGAAAGACAGTTCTATTTTAATCTCCCAGAGGTCCAACACGCCCTTCATGCCAACCACACTCGCCTACCTTACGAATGGGCTATGTGTAGCACGCAAACCATTTTATGCTTTTATATTTAGTTTGATTGATTACAGTTATGAAAAAACTTTTTATTGTAGGAGTTCATGTATTTTATACTGATTGGTATAAATCACTTTGCTTATGTTGCAGCTTGGTAAATTATAGCGGCATCGACTTGAGCATTAACATGCTTCCAACTCTGAAGAGAATTATGTAATTCCACTTCTTAGTTCAAGAACTCTCGTACGAGAACTTGCTAATGATCTCAACTTCAACACCATTGTTCCCTATGGATTTTTTCCACAAGGAACAGGTAAGTTCTCTGCACCATTACAAAAATGCAAAAAACAGCACTCTTACTTCTTGTCCCTACACTTTTTTAAAACTGATTGCAAACTTGTTGTTGTGACTAGGTTGGTGGTTGGGTCACTGAGTATAGTAAGTTATTGGCGTTTGCAACAGTAAGAGGAGCAGCTCATATGGTGCCATATGCGCAACCCTCACGAGCTCTTCATATTTTCAGTAGCTTTGTGCGTGGCCAGAGATTGCCCAACAAGCCACACACCTCTCTTCATGAATACGAAAGAAGAGACCTATTAATTATACTAAGCAATTATGATTAGTATTAAATGGTTAGCTTGTTAACCACTTAATTAGACGTATATACATGATAAGTATAAGCTTTGATTCAGCTGCATAACCTTGCCTTAGCCATCACCTAATGATTGGACTATATAGATAAGATGTGAAAGGATGTATTCTGATTCTGCTTGACATATTCTGATTCTGGTAACGACAAAGAGATCCAATTATGTATTCTGATTTTGCTTACATGGTATAGAATGATTTATGTTCATACTCTTTACAATTCTATTACTCTTCTAACAATTAATCTGCAACTCCGCCCACAAACTTCTAAGCCACTGAACATTTCAATAACCTCCTTACGAAGAACCCAACTTGCCCTCTATCTGAAATGATAGTGCTTCTACAACAAAGACAGAACTTCAGCACTACACTGACTATTGTAAGGTCCTGCTCCTGAAATAACAGTTCATGATCTGTTTAAGCATTCTATGAAACAGAGAATCAGGCTCTCAAGATGTGAAGTAGCAAACTGATGTCTTGCATGCCTTTGAATAGGCCGAGAATCACCACATTTTCATAACAGTATCATACTCCACTTTCTTTTTGCAATTATTATAAAGCATGACTGAAACATCCATGTGTGGACTCTATATGCTCTTATTAGGTAAAAAAATGATCTTAATTAATTTATATGTACTAATTAGGTAAACATAATCTTAATTTATTTAATTAATTATAACCAAAGGGAATAAATGGAAATACATGTAAAAGAATAATTTTATCACACGCTACTAATGTTCAAGGTGTTAGCGGGATTATAAAAATATAGAGTTGTGATGATTTTAAAAGTTGAGAGATTTGATAAATTTGTAAAAAAATTTGTTAGATTTAAACAGAGTTATGTATATTTAGAAAATCTTTTATTATTATGATTTTAAGAATCTAAGGTAAATAGATAGTATTTTGAAAGTTTTGTTTAATGAGTTAAATTGTTAATAATCTGTGTCCCAGTAACAAAGATTTTAATAGATTTATAGAATTATTAAAAACTAAACTCCTTAAATAACAATGGATTTTGTATAGAATTTGAAATTTTTATTCTAATAACTATTGAATCTCAAAATTTTAACAATCATTACAAACCTCTCTATCAATAACTCCCCAAATATGTAAAGGAATCATTCACTTTAATTTAGTTTGACTATAATCAAAGAAAATAAATGGAAATAATTTTCACTAATGTATTTAATTATACTCTAAGGAAATAAACCTAAAGATTTTTTACTTTAACTCATTATATTTTGGAGAACAAGTTTTCTTTTTCATGTGCTTGTGTTAGTATATATGTTACCATCTGAAAGTAATCATAACACACCAAAAAAAATTAAGAAAATATCATACAGAATGGTTTTCTCCAAGAAAATGTCTATAACATTTGTTCTCACAATCCTTTTCGTCATCTCTTATGTTCATTGCGATGATAGAAATCCCGGTATTAGCTTACTATCATACTCCCTCACTTTTTTTTTACCAAGCCTTTTATAAATGTTAATATTTTTTTAATTATTATTGTTTAATACTTTTAGTTATTATTTACTTTATCTTGCCTATAATCTAAAAAAAATTGAATTTGTTTTTGCTTATTTATCTTCTATTCAAAAAAATTTCCACGTTGGTATACTTGCCATCAGAAAGAAAACTTAACACACAAACCACAAATTAAGAGAATATCATTGAGAACGGATATATATAAATAAATTGCTAATCATAATTTTTTTCCTATTATCCTCTTCATCATCTCTCGTGTTCTTGTATTGATAAAATTACAGTATTGGGTTATTATAATGCTTCTTACTTTTATTTGTGGACATGTTTAATATTTGTTTAATGATCACCGTAAAATAGGTTCTGGAATGAAGTTTGAGTATAAAAAATGCTATGATCCATGTGGTGAGGGAGGACAACCAAAATGCGAGAGGTTTTGTGGAGCTCAAAGCTTTCAATTGGTGGGCAGTTGTATTTCTGGCATATGTTGTTGTACGTCTAAAGACAAAATAATCTATTAAAAGATATATGTATTTGACACACAAATAAAAGATCACTTGATCTCGTACATGTGTTGGAAAGGTTAAGAATAAAATGGAAATTTAGTTTTATTAAACTCCAAAAAAATTATGGCAAAATTAACTAAATTTTAAAATTAATTATAATATAACAATTTCCAATATGAAATGTAAAATAAAAGAAAAAATCAGATCACCACTTATGAGGTAAAATAAAGAACACAGTTGGGTAGTCAGGTCTGATAAACAACCTAAGTGGTATAATTATTCAGATGAGTTTTAAGTTAAGTCACCAATCCAATATCTTCCCCACGAAAAATGGTTATCGACCGACAGCACCAGCTAGAATCTAGAAGGGTGAATTTTTATGTACCCATTCGGAGCGATATGGTCAACTTCTTGTGATGGAACACGTTTCTCTCTAGAGCTCAAACCAGTCTTCACTGATCGCACACTTGAACTCACTGAAAGTTGCTCCAGATGATATGGGAAATGTATTTTGTCCCATATCAAAAAATAAGAGAAAAACTCTCTAGTGTTTTTTGAAAACCTTAGTTATTATAGTTTATCAAAAGTTTAGGACGAGCTCCAAATATATTTTAGCAACTCTTTTCATTAAAAAAATTCTAAAGAAAATGTCATAAGTTTCATAACCCATATAATACTGGCTTTGTATTCACTTTGAAAGATTTGACTTATCTTACATACTCTTTACATATGCTATTTTTCAGAAAGTCTTGAGATATTTCTTGATCTCCAAGGAGAGAGATCCAAAGGAGACTATATCCCTGTTAAGAGAAGATCCACCATCTATGTCCTTGGTGCAGTCCGCGAGTCTTGTGTAATAGATCAAAAGTTGTGTCAATGCAGCTCTCAAGATCTCCATACCACGCAAGAAGTTACTGAAGGAAGTCTTGAAGTCATGACATATTCTGATTCTGGTAACGACAAAGAAATCTAATTATGTATTCTGATTTTGCTTACATGGTATAGAATGATATATGTTCATACTCTTTACAATTATATTACTCTTCTAACAATTAATCTGCAACTCCTTCCACAAGCTTCTAAGCCACCGAACATTTTAACAACCTCCTTACGAAGAACCCAGCTTGCCCTCTATCTGAAATGATAATGCTTCTACAACAAAGACAGAACTTCAGAACTACACTGACTATTGTAAGGTCCTGCTCCTGAAATAACATTTCATGATCTGATTAAGCATTCTATGAAACAGAGAATCAGGCTCTCAAGATGTGAAGTAGAAAACTGATGTCTTGCATGCCTTTAAACAGGCCGAGAATCACCACATTTCCATAACAGCATCATACTCTACTTTCTTTTTGCAATTATTATAAAGCATGACTGAAACATCCATGTGTGGGACTCTATATGTTTTTATTAGGTAAAAATGATCTTAAATAATTTATATGTACTAATTAGGTAAACATAATCTTAATTTATTTATTTAATTATAACCAAAGGGAATAAATGGAAATACATGTAAAAGAATAATTTTATCACACGCCACTAATGTTCAAGGTGTTAGCCGGATTATGATTTATATAGGGTTGTGATGATTTTAAAAGTTGAGAGATTTGAAAATTTGTAAAAAATTTGTTAGATTTAAAGAGAGTTATGTATATTTAGAAAATATTTTATTATTATGATTTTAAAAATCTAAGGTATATAGATAGTATTTTTAAAGTTTTGTTTAATGAGTTAAATTGTTAATAATCTGTGTCCCACTAACAAAGATTCTAATAGATTAATAGAATTATTAAAAACTAAACTCCTTAAATAACAATGGATTTTGTATAGAATTTAAAATTTTTACTCTAATAACTATTGAATCTCAAAATTTTAACAATCATTACAAATCTCTTTATTAACAACTCCCCAAATATGTAAAGAAATCACTCACTTTAATTTAGTTTGACTATAATCAAAGAAAATAAATGGAAATCATTTTCACTAATGTATTTTAATTATAGTCTAAGGAAATAAACCTAAAGATTTTTTACTTTAACTCTTTATATTTTCGAGAACAAGTTTCTTTTTTCATGTGCTTGTGTTAGTATATATGTTACCATCTGAAAGTAATCATAACACACCACAAAAATAAAGAAAATATCATACATAATGGTTTTCTCTAAGAAAATGTCTATAGCATTTGTTCTCACAATCCTTTTCGTTATCTCTTATGTTCATTGCGCTGATAGAAATCCCGGTATTAGCTTATTATCATACTCCCTCAGTTTTTTTTACCAGGCCTTTTATAAATGTTCATATTTTTTTAATTATTATTGTTTAATACTTTTAGTTATTATTTACTTTATCTTGCCTATAATATAAAAAAAATGAATTTGTTTTTTGCTTATTTATCTTCTATCCAAAAAATTTCCACGTTGATATACTTGCCATCAGGAAGAAAACCTAATACACAAACCACAAATTAAGAGAATATCATTGAGAACGGATATATATATATATATATAAATTGTGAATCACAATTTTTTTTCCTATTATCCTCTTCGTCATCTCTGGTGTTCTTGTATTGATAAAAATTCCAGTATTGGCTTACTATAATGCTCCTTACTGTTATTTGTGGACATGTTTAATATTTGTTTAATGATCACCGTAAAATAGGTTCTGGAATGAAGTTAGAGTATAAAAAATGTTACGATCCATGTGGTGAGGGAGGACAACCAAAATGCAAGAGGTTTTGTGGAGCTCAAAGCTTTCAATTGGTGGGCAGTTGTATTTCTGGCATATGTTGTTGTACGTCTAAAGACAAAATAATATATTAAAAGATATATGTATTTGACACACAAATAAGAGATCACTTGATCTCGTACATGTGTTGGAAAGGTTGAAAATGAAATAGAAATTTAGTTTTATTAAACTCTAAAAACAATTATGGCAAAGTTGACTAAATTTTAAAATTAATTATAATATAACAATTTCCAAGATGAAAGGTAAAATAAAATAAAAACTCATATCACCTCTTATGAGGTAAATTAAAGAACACATTTGGGTAGTCAGATCTGATAAACCAACTAAGTGGAATAATTATTCAGATGAGTTTTAAGTTAAGTCACCAATCCAATATCTTCCCCACGAAAAATGGTTATCGACCGACAGCACCAGCTAGAATCTAGAAGGGTGAATTTTTATGTACCTATTCGGAGAGATATGGTCAACTTCTT